TTTGACGAGCTTTACCAAACCGTTTATGCTGGCGCTCCATGAAGCCTTTGCCGAGGAAGCATATTACAAGCCGGAATACTACTATTCAAGAAGAATGCGAATGGAGATCTCAGCCCAACTACTATCATCGACAGCAAGCCTGGGCCCGTATTCAGCACTATTTACCAACGGTTCAGGACAATTTTCCGTCATGCAGAGACAGGCCACAATGTCCCTTTGCCTGGATCTAATCCGAGATTTTGAGGAAGACTCATTTCCCAACTTGGATAGTGCCTCTAGAGTACAACTTCGAGATATCCTGTCCAATGCAGTAACAATGTTCAAGAGACGTGTCGAAATGTCACGTGGCTCAGAGTCAACAGAGGAGTTTGTCTTATTCTCCTGTGCATTATCCTACATTGAAAGTCTACAGCGAAAGGAGGACGGTGATAAAATGGCTGCGAAGATCAGTGAAACAGCAAAGACTGTGCTGAAAGTGTGCTCAGATGTAATGGAAAGGCAGAGGCGGAGGGAGTCACTTGCAGAGACAGATATGTGGATGGGCTGAAAATTCTTCGACACTTCGGAATAGTTACTGCATGCTTGGCTTCATTATCTTATCACATTGAGTTTACTATTTGAACGTGAATGGAGCATTCCTTGGTTGTCCGCGTCCATACCACTCTTTCGAGTTGCTTTACTCCAGTATGAGATCCAAGGCAGCATACCTTTTCACTAGCCGCTTCAAGCAACACCAAGCTCTCTCGTATGATGATAACCTTCGAATAGAAGCTCTTGACCCGAGGCTCTTGACCCGAGAATGCGAGATTACATGGTGGAAGCGGCGTGGTATATGCACGGGAAATCCCACGGGGAATCCTTCGGGGAATCTCTCCCGCGCCGTCTCACCCTTGCTTTACAGTGCGATAACGTGCTAAAAAGTACGAAGGAAGCACTGTCTAGTGTTTTACCCCGTAATATCTCGACGGTCGAGATCTAGTTGCTTGTCGATAGGAGCCTTGCGGCGATGCATGTCCTATACTAATATTCTACAGTTTATCATAGCCATCCAAAAACGCCACCAGATTTGAATCCGTAATTATCCCAAACTCTTTTTTCTAAAGCAAGCCAAGGTGAGATATACGTCAGGGTATCACACACGAAACAATGGCGCTTCATCAATTATTGCTCCAGCAGCTCTCAACTCGCAATATCCCAGTTCTTGCAATTGGGGCATTTTTTCTCCTACTTATCTTCCGGAAGCTTTTCACAAGTAGCCCAAATTCTGAAGCAAAAGGCTGGAAGCCAATCCCTCGCTACTGGCAATGGGACCGAATATGGGGTCTCGATCTGGTAGCGAGTCAGATACATGCCTTGAGATCAAACCAGTTCTTGGCATGGCTTGCCAAGCTTCACGCCAGCATGCCTCACACCAAGACATTCAGTATCAACATGTTTGGTGTCAAGTGGATTTACACCTATGATCCTGAAGTCTTGAAGGCTGTCTATGCAACTCACTTCAAGGAGTTTGGTGTTACGCCAATCGGTAACCTTCGAAGAGGATTAACTCCCTTCGCTGATAAAGGTGCAATCACTACCGACGGCGAGGATTGGAAGCACAGTCGTTTTCTGATCCAGCCCTTCTTTGATCGTCAGGTGTATACAAGCACCGACAGAGTGGCTCGACACACGGACCAGTTCATTAAACTACTACCTGAGAATGGCGAAACCGTTGATTTACAACCTCTGCTGCAGCGCTGGGTAAGTTGAAATCACCCATTGGACAATTTGAACCATACTAATCGTTACATACAGTTCTTGGACATCGCTACAGAGTTCATTTTTGGCGAGTCAACGGAAGCTTTAGTATACCCTGAGCGCGCCAAGATTGCAAACACAATGCTTGACGTGCTTGACGGTGGTCGCCTCCGCGCTCAGCTAAACAGACTCATGTTCCTTCGTGATTGGACTCCCTGGCTGAAGTCAGTCGAAGAGATCCACGCCTTTGTCACTCCTCCCATTCAAGAGACCATCAAGGAGAAGCATGAGCGTGAAAAGAAGATCAAAGAGGGCGCAAGTGACTTGGAACCCGAGAGAACTGATCTCTTGTGGACCATGGTGCAAAACCTTGAGGATGTTGAGGAGCTTAGATCACAGATCTGCTTGATTCTCGTCGCCAACATCGACACTACATCTGTGTTCATTAGCAACTGCGTTTGGTGGCTTGCCCGCTATCCTGATGTTTGGGATAAGATTCGCCAGGAAGTCCATGAACTGGGCGACATCCCAATGAACTTTTCAGTTCTACGAAATATGAAGTATCTGAACTGCGTCATGAATGAGAGTAAGTGCATCACCTCATTTTCTCCGCATTTTCTGATCTAACGGGAAAGCTCATCGCATGATTCCTAACAACGTCTCTCAACTTCGCGGTGCGTTTGAGGATGTCGTGATACCGGTAGGCGGCGGCCCAGATGGCAAATCACCGACTCTCATTCGCAAGGGCGATCTGGTTCTCATCAACAAGACCGTCATGTACCGTGATCCTGAGGCCTGGGGTGAGGACTCCAACGAGTTTAAGCCCGAAAGGTTTGACGGATATCGAGGCTCTTGGGGCTTCCTACCTTTTGGTGGCGGGCCTAGACGATGTCCAGCGCAAATGATGGTTCAGACTGAGGCGGCGTACATCCTTGCTCACCTTGCCAAGACTTTCAAGCGAATTGAGCCTCGGGACCCAGAACCTTACGTGCCAGTTATGAGAATTGGGCCATCGAACAAGACTGGTGTCAAGGTGGCTTTATACAGATGATCTAGGTTTCTGTTTCCGATGCTAGAAGGCATTTCATTGTTGTTCTACGGCGTCTAGCTCCCTTCGGGGTGCTTAGTGGAGTATCTGTGTATACAGCACTGTGTCGCATAATGTCAACCCATGCCTGAGAATGTCACAGATACTTAATCTTAGAGTTGAATTAGCAGCAATATTTCCTATCATATTCCTAGATTTCTCTTGTCGTATATAAAGCCGTTGCCTTTCATTCGTGCCCTGTTTCATGTCTTTCTATAGATCACCACAAACGCTGTCGGCGAAATCTTTATCAAAGCCCAAAAGAACTTTTCTAGAGGATCACTTTCAGAACCTCTAATAGAGATAGAAAGCTAAAATGGAATAGTTGAAATTAGAGATGTGGTGTCTGATTGGACACGGAGAATAACGGGATATTACGTGTTACACCGAGCCCTACCTTGACATCCGTACGCGAGTCGCATTTTGGAGTGGATCTATCCGTACGATCAACTCTGGACCGTTTGCCTCCACCGTAGAGTGGGCCAATTATAGATTCTATCTGTAGTTTTTGAACTTACTCGATAGTACTCTTGCTTTCATCCAGTTCTTCATCTAAGAACCTCCACCTTCACAGCGAATAGAACACCAGTCTGAACACTAGCACTATGGAACTCGCTATCGCACAACCAATCACGCTGAAATGCGGCCTCACTTTACCAAATCGACTCACCAAAGCCGCCATGGCGGAAAGATTGGCTGACAAAGAGGGCCTTCCGGGTGGCAAACAATGTCTGGCAACCTACAGTGAATGGGCGAAAGGGGGTTGGGGATTGATCATCAGTGGTGCGGGTCCCTCGAACTATCACAACTCATCACTTTCTTAACCGATCGATAGGTAATGTTCACATCGATCCTGCTCATCCCGGTGCACCAGGGGACTTCACAGTGAACCGGGATCTGCCCAGGGGAAAGACTCTTACAGCTTGGAAATCGTGGGCCAGTGCCTGTTCACTCAACGGAACCAAAGCCATCGTTCAGATCAACCACCCAGGTCGGCAAGCACCATTTGTCAAAAGCCTAGCTCCAAGTCCAATTCCTTTAGATCTCGGCAAGGGTCTGTTTCCATGGCTTGTCAGATCTCTGGTATACGGAACGCCAAAGGAGATGACTCAAGCTGACATAGACGATGTGGTGATGCGGTTTGCAGAGGCAGCGCAGTTATCCGTGGAAGCAGGGTTTGCGGGTGTAGAGATCCATGCAGCACATGGATACCTGTTGGCGCAGTTCCTATCTCCTTTGTCCAATGAACGAACAGATGATTATGGCGGTTCTCCGTTGGCAAGAGCCAAGATCGTTATTGACGCCGTCAAAGCTGTTAGGAAGGCTGTACCAGCGGAGACCTGTGTTGGGATCAAGGTCAACTCAACTGACCATACCAATTTGGGTGACTTTATCATACAACTGAAGGCCATAGTCGATGCTGGAGTTGACTTTGTCGAGGTGAGTGGAGGGTCCATCGAGGACCCTATGTTCAGCACTGGCCTGCACACAACAGTTAAGGCAAGCACCAAGGCTCGAGAAGCCTTCTTCATCGACTTTGCAAATTCAATCAGATCTGAGCTCCCGGATGTTCCCATCATGCTGACTGGTGGTTTTCGAACACGACAAGGTATGGAGACTGCTGTGAAAGGAGGCAGTTGTGATCTTGTCGGCCTAGCTCGACCGTCTGTCATTGACCCAGCTCTGCCAAAAAAAGTCTTAGACACCAGCATACCGGAGCATGGGGCTCTGGCGTATGCTAAGAGGATTGAGGCATGGAGTTGGGCTAAGTATACTGGCATCAAAGCTGTTGGTATGGGAGCTGAAACGGTACGTCTTTCTTCCTCTTTTGCCAAGAACGGTGAACTGATCACCAAAATAGCTCTGGTATACCAAACAGATTGGGCGGTTAGGGATGGCAAACAATTGAGTTGGAGTACCAAGGTTTTACATCATATATAGTTATAAGTATAGTCATCAACCTCGGCACCTCCATCATTCCGATAATAATGTTCAGCATGCGACTTGACTTTCGTGAACGATGTTTAATGTCTGTTCACCTCCCATATGCACCTAAGCAATATTCTTTATTGACTTTAGGCGAGAAAAGCTGCTAGCCATAAAACTATCACGCCACAATACAGCGTAAATCACAACAAAGAAGCCGATCGGAACCCATCCTACAAATACAACCATAATGGAAGACAACAACGCTATCATTATTGTCGGAGCCGGTTGCATTGGGCTTTGCACTGCGTACGAGTTGTCCAAGTCCTTCGATGATCAGGAGCGTATGCCCCGTATTATCGTCGCTGAGGCATGCGACAGACCATTCGCTGCTGCTTCGTCAGCTTGCACAGGTTGCTTTCACTACCACTTCCCTGGCCCTCTGAGCAAGGCACTTACACCTCTTGGGAAATATTCTTTCGATCTATGGGCGCAAGAGGCACAGAATGCTGACTTCAGACTTGCTACGGGATACCTTGAAAACTCCTCCTACAGCATCCTTCAAGGCGATGGCAAGGGCCTTGATAGGCTCCCCGATTGGATCAAGACAGAGGCATTTTGGGATGTTGACAACCACGTTCTGGGGAATAAAACAGCGACAGTGTACGTACTTCGAAAGTCCAAATCAATTGTGCCAGTCTTGGTACTAATGATGTTCAAAGGAACCCGCTTGGTGTAGGCAAATGGCTGACACAGCAGTGCCTCGCGAGAGGCGTGAAAATCGTGTTAAACACGGAGATTCTCGCGGTCGAACTATCCACCTTGAACGAGTTGCGAGCCGTAAATTTGAGAAATGGACATCAGAAGACAAATATTGCATGCAAGCAAATGCTCTTAGCTTGTGGACCATGGACTCCCACTGTATATGAGCGGCTGTTTCCGGAGCACCCATCTGTCTGCAGTGGACTACAAATGCCGGAGACTGGATCACTTTCAAGAATCCATGTCTAACAACTATTGAGAGTACTGCATTCGTCTCATTCGAATCATATATCGGCGAAAAGTTTGAATTCGCTGGCCGAAATGATGGAAGCATTTGGGTTTGTGGACGAAGGAATTTCAACGCCAAGCTGCCATCGCCAGGTCAATCAGATGAACCAGACAATGCACTTATTGAGGAAATGAGTCGACTTGCACGCAAGTGGCTCAACCGAGATTGCTCTCATCATGAGGAGCATTGCGATGATGTCCAGATAGTCAAGAAAGGCAGGGCATTCAGGCCGGCGACTAAATCCGAGCTTCCAGTCATGTCCAAAGTCAAGCCTTCAGACATTACTCCGAATTATACCTCACATTCTACCGGAATCTTTGTTTGTTGTGGCCATGGCTCATGGGGTCTGACGCTCGGAATGGGCAGTGGAAGAGTCATGAGTCAAACAATACGTGGAGAGCAGTCTGACATTGATTTATCGCCCTTCTCCTTGGCGTTGAATACTACATCCTGTGCCTAACTACTATCAAATGACGCCTCAAGTTTCTTACCTGCTAGTTCCATCTTAATAACATCTGAATGGCACCCTTCAGTGTAAATGATGACAGCGATGCAATTCTATAAGGTGGGCTATCAGAATACGTTTATTTAAGTCCATGCTTAGGTACTGCAGTATGTCGAACCCTTTTTTCTTCCCTCCTACATGTCACATTATCACTGGAGTATTTGCGCATGGATAACTCCAGATGTCCAATGAGCATAGTAAATCTAGACCGAGGTTTTCCTTCACAGTGCCAAGTCTGTGAATAGATTATTGGCGAATTCATCGCCGGTGTCCGCAAACACGCATCCTCGTATTAAGAGAATAATTGTTGCCACGGCGGGGTCTGGCGGAGTCTCAAGTCAACAGCGGAGGGATAACCTTGATGCCTTTCCAGGATAATGCTAAATTTATATCATCGGTCCTTTCTAAGCTTTATTGGTTAAGATGGCTTGAACGTGGCGGAAAATTGCTTCTCAAGGTGGAAAAGGTTAGTTCCAACCGTCCTCAGAAAAGTGAAAGAATAAGGCATATCTTTCTCAGATTTATCTGTGATAGGGTTTGAATGGTCAAAGAGGCTTCAGCCTCAAGGCCACAAAGGTAAAGAACACCAAAAAAACACATACGGGCAAAATACTTGTCGCCCTCACTATTGCCTAGGATCTTGCTTCTAGCTGAAAGCTAGATATCCTGATGACTGACTCCAGAGGTGTATAAATAAGTGGCTGCTGCTTGTCCGTCAGGATTATCAGGCTCACTCAGATTTATCAAGCTCAGCGTCAGGACCTTTTTATGTCTTTGTTTGGCTCGTCTTATGGCCAATCATAAAATGCATGTAAGCGCTGCGGCTTGTCTTTGTAACATGCACTTCTGCCTTGCCTAATTGAGGCCTCCCATCTCAAACTAACAGACACTGCCGCCTATAGGTTCGAAGGCTTGATAAAGTACGTATATCTGAGGGGCCAGCTCATGCTATAAACAGTGAACTCATTTTACCCATTGCCACCCACCCTTTGCCGCCCCAGTTTCATTACCCACCGCTTGACTCGTTTCATTCTTAATTAGTTGTTTCATTCGAAGCCTCTCTCTCAACTATTTCTACACTCGTATCATGCCATATCTTACCCATTCCTTGACACGTTCTTCGGACCAAACACGTGAGCTCCTTGATTTTTGTGAGCATCACAGTTCGCCGAGACAAAATGTAGATTTCCAGGCCATGGCCACCGCACTTGCCCAGATATTTCGAGCCTACATCAATCAAACAGAAATTACATGCATAGTGAAAGGCCGCATTCGGCGCCCTAATGCTATTGGAGATTCTCTCAATCTCCTTGGTAAGAATGTCCGTTCATATCAGATTCTTGTTTCAAACAAGGCCTATAAAGTTCCAAGCATCAAGATCCTTGTCAATGGGTCAGATGAGAAGAACACCTATTATTCATTCTCAAGTAATGATACGTTCCGCCTCACAGGCTTTCGTACTTCAACGAAAAGTCTTTCCCAAAAGCGTCTAAGAGAAAGGCGCGCTGCTGGCTTTCTACTAGACTGGAGTGTCTATTATATGACTGCTCAGTTCCCGGCCACTGAGCCATTGCAAAAGTATAATGATATTTTGTTCGAGGTTCTGTTGACGTCTTATTGGCCTTCTGGTGAAGGACCCAACTTACCGAGTCACTTGTTTTGGAAGAACTTCAAGAAACGTCCAGAGATTGAGCAGCCGGATAGCCTTATGCTTGCGTTACAAGATGGCCTCACCAGATTATGTTTCACACCCAGTGGTAGACTGATAAGTCTCAGGGATGTTAATATTATGATACAAGGTCATGACCCCGGTATGGGCGCTTCAAGGATCAAGAACCTCCTCATGGAAGGATTCGAAGAAATCGTTATCTACGCATGCCAGCAATGCTTCTTCCAGCCAGGCAATACAACAGTCGATGCGACATTGTCGCATATATGCCGTTCACTCAGGTATGGCCGCTGAACTCAGATGCACTGAACTCCCATTGAAGTCAACTAGGATCGTAATGCAGGATGAATACCTTCCCCTCGAGCACGTGGATACCCGGAGAATTCTTCACAGAGCGTGGTTGAGACTGCAGTTTATGCTAGTAGTCAAAGACACGACAAACAGTGCGACTGAAGACTCAATACCTCCTATCAAATGTCGCAGCCAAGCGTCAGATATTCAACCTCTTATCAAAAGAATTGCCAATAGTATCGTCTCCCACCCGATGGCTACGAGCGTTCTTATCTCGGTGTTGCTGCGAGTCCATGAGACAGACATCCCCCTAATATTGCTAATCGCATCATATGCCTATTGTAAGAGCTTGCAATCAGAGGCATGGGGCACCGAGGAGACTCGGGTAGCGACCGCCATAGGATCGCAGGTAGAGGTGCTATCGGACGAAATAGAGCGCGCAGTGGCATTTACCAACGAACTTTGTCAGCAAATGCAAGATGATGGCCCCTACGAATCTTGCGATGCTTCTGATACTAGGCCTCGAAATGGCCATAGCGAAGATGTCTCAAACACCGCTTTGAAAGAAGCGGGACAAGATTCAGCACCCCTGTTCCGCGAGCAAGAGAAGTTTCAAAATTTCAAAGCTCCAGAGTTACTCTTAAGGTACACTGACAGAGAATTGGAGAGATTCATTTTTTCAATCGAGGCATTAGAGGCTTTTGTTGATGTTCTTCTATTCTGGCTCCCAAGGCTAGGCCTGAACCAAGAGATTGAATTGAAACCGGACGTCTCGAAGCGTAATATTGACAGAGATGAAGAGTTCGTCGCTTCCGAACACCTTTGTCTTGAGACGCCTCCCGGCTCCGGGTTGAAAGATGCAATACAGGTCCAAATTGAAGCGCTGAATGCTTCCACTCGGCTGCGAGAGGCATGTATCAGACTCGGAGCCTATATCTTGGGGTCCTGGAATTCCGATCGTCTATGGATCGAGATTGCTCGTCTTTTTAATGCCCCAGTAGCTAATGGCTACAGGCGCGTTACTTGGCAATGTGTAAGTCCACTCTTTAATCAGCAATGCGAGCATCAAGACTGACTATCAATTATACATGTGGCAAACAACTTACAGCCGACTTTGACGATTCTGATCCTTCTGATTTGGATGAGCATTTATTAGAACTAGCAGATTGTCAAGCGGCGTCGTTGAGTTCAATGATATGCACATCGGAGAATCAGCTCATTGGAACCTTCAGACTGTCGGATAGAATGATGCTGAGCGCGCCTAGTAGCAAATTCCAACATTCTCCGGCAACAAAGACAAGTCTTGGGACTTCCATCATCAAGCAATCTGCTGGTGGTACGAATTCTGATCATTTGGGGAATTGCAGCTCAAACGGCCCGAGGAATCAACTGGCCATTGAAAATTCCACAACAGAATCTTCGCAACTCAATGTGAAGAGATTTTTCGAGGTATGCATAAGTATGGGTAACCATGCGGTACGGTTAGAGGAGATCGACTTAAGCTCCGTGCACTCAGATGGGGCTCTCTTTAAACATATCTGGAACAGATATCGTCAGTCACGCGGATTCTGTATGCGAAGACTGTTTCTCAAGCCAAGAGATGTCCATTTTGTACAGGTAAGTCCTTGTGACAACAATTGGTCACTGGGAGCTCCAAGCCTGGCAACTTGACTAATGGCTTCGCGGTAATCTAGTTTTGTTTAAATCGCTCTTTGCAAGATCTAGTCGGTATTCAAAAATCACCCAGTGAATACCCACCAGATGAGGAGGTTCAATGGAATCGCTACCACTATGTGCGGCCAAAGCTCTTGATGCCTGCTAATTTATTTCTTCATTTTCTGCATCTTGCGGGCAAGGATTCTGAAAGGCTACATTATCGTCGGACATGGATTGAGAGACTACCAAAAAAGCTTGAAACGGCCATCCTCGAAGTAGACACGACGGCTCGCATCTTTCCAGGTCTATCAGCGGAGGTTCAAGTGCAGAGGGCCGAGGAAGGCACGAGCGTACCAAACTGGGCACTTCATACTAATCAGCCCCAAAGCTTGGATGACCCAGAGGAGACCGACATTGTTACAGGCTGGGGAGTTCACATTATCGAAGGACCTAACCACTCGGGCCTGAGTTTCGTTTTGATGTTTGGGGTGGTGATTTCTTTCTTTGTGTCTGTTATGCTGACCGGTCTTGCAAGAACAGAAGAACAGGGATTCGGCGTTGGCTCTTTTCTAATCGCTGTTTTGACATGCGGTATGACAGCGGTATACTTTGCTTTGACAGACTGATGTTTAGACTCAATATTGATTTTTATTCTTCTATCCCTTTTCGGTTTCGAATAGTGCATCTTTGCAATTAAATTCAAGACATACTGTGATCTAAATAAGGCCTCCGTTTCTTAATCTGTGCCCTCCATTAGTTTACTCATATCCCTTCGTTGGATGAGGCCGCGCTTGCAATCGGTCTGATAGCCTCCACTTGTTTTTTTAAATCACGATTCATCCTGACGTATCCTTCCTGCAACTCGTTCAACTTTCCCGCTGCAGCAGCTATTGGCGCCAAGATGCCAGAAAATCGCTCTCCTTGCGTAAATCGCGTCGATCGTCCATCATCGACAGCTTCCAGTCGACACCAGTGCTCAGTATCGAAGATGATTGGCGTTAAGATGCTGCCGTTCCATCGAAGTTCCTTTTCAGGCTGTAATACTGATACGATATTCGTGTACGTTTGAGTCTTTTCGATTGTGATGATCTGATTGCTTCCAACAGCGAGTTCAGTGTGTGGAGGTTGTACTTTAATTGAAGTGACGAATGTGTTCCATTTTGGCCAAGACTCCAAGTCCATGAGCACGCTCCATACTTGTGATGGAGGTGCTGCAATTGTGATTGATTCTTGAATTTCGCGCATACTGGTCGTAATTGATTTGAGCGGCCGCCTCGTAAGATGGTAGATGGTGATGGTATTCTGAGTATGGAAGAAGAGGTCTTTGTGCTACTAGAATTATCAAGAGTTCGCGACTGGCTTTATATCTATAGTTCCTAATTTTTGACCACCTAGTACCGAAGAACTCATGTCGTCGCTCGCTCGGTGACGCGAGACGGCTCGGCGCGTATGGTAGACCGACACGGGCTGTTTCAGCTATGACGTCAATGAGTTCGGAGGGTTATTTGTCCGCTCACTCCCATGAGTGCGACATCTATTGCCCCGATGGAACAACAACATGGCGATTGTTTAACTTTTCACCTGGGACAAAGAGTCAAATAATGATAGAATATGGATTTCGTTATCAAAATGCATCAACAGCTGCTACAGCAAGACGCTGACTGCTTGAGTCATTGGGTGATTGATAGCCCTAGCACACCATTGTATTACTGCTCCAGCGACCACCTAAAATCGTCACCAAAGTTGACTACAGCGTTAGTCCTTTGCGACATGTCAATCTGAATGCTCTGTGCATAAATTCCATCGATCATGGTTCCAGTTTGGCCATCGCTGCCAAACCAAACCGTGACCTTGTTATTGAGCTTAATATCCTGACTGGCGCCTCTCGGGATTTGCGAGGAACCGACGTAGATTGGAGCCTTGTCGAAGCCCATTGTTCTGTAGATGACGGGTGAGGCTCTGTCGGCCTGGTTCTTGAAGCGAAAACCGCCTTGGGGCCCACCGTCATTGACACTGCCTTGAAAGTCTGGGCTCAAGGTGTAGGTCTGACCGGGCCTGATGGGGCTGAGATCAGTCGATGCCTCAACATAGGCTGAAGAACTGATTAGTAGCTTGACTCTTGATTTGTGATTTTGTTGGCCTGCATACCTCCTTGCATGAAGTTGGACTGACTGGCAGCCATAGCATAGTCGTCATTCCACCGGATTTGGATATTGGGTGCAAGGTCTTGATTGCAATCGTCAGTGCGGGTTCAATCAGGGGAGTATGAAACCTTACTTGAGCTTGATGCAATGACCTTGGGTTCCCCGTTTTCTACTCCAAAAGCCAAGCAGAGCTTATTGCCTTGCTGGCTGAGTTGCTGTATGGCCCTCTGCCCTTGAATCTTGACTAACAGAGAATAGTTGGTCATTTTGGCAAAGAGTTACAGGATTGCTTTATATGAAGCTGAAAATTGTTGAGTTGTTTTCTATGATATAAAGAATGAGCTTAATGAGGGGGCTCTATCACCTTTTATAGCTAAAAGCCATTGTCCTAGAGAGCCGGTCAACTTCCTCAACATCGACAGTCTGGACTTTCGATGAGACCTCAGCTGGCCACGTTTATGCAGTCTATTATAGTTCACAACCACTTGCTAGGAAACATACATAGACGGGCGGCTGACTATACGCAGCTTACTCTAGCTATCGAACTTTACTAACCTATGGCTGCATGCTTTCTGAGCATGTTGAGAGACATGGCGTATACTGTTCAATAGTCTGCCCAGCCTTTTATACTAGTCTTTGGCCCAGACCAATCTCGGGCAGATAGTCCAGCCAGCCACGATATACCCCGCGCGCCAATTGAGGCTAGACAGTTGCTGATGTTTCTGGTAATCCCTAGGCTGCTAAGGAATACTTCTTTATACCTTGTTATTCTGTGATAGTTCATGTACTCCTTAACAGACACCAAAATGTAACCTCAACCAGTATTCTCCTGCATGTGGTGTCTGTTGCCCCAACGTAATGTTAATCGCCCTCATTTGTCCTAGAAATAATAACATGACGTTATGACTTATTCTTTGAATATCAAATTGTTGAAATTGTTGCTTTGTAATTCTGATTGAGGTCTCTCCGTTCTCGGCGTGTTTGGTTTTAAGGCGCGAGGAAAACCAGCCACAATGGATGCTTCACTCTGCCACAGTGACTCGTTCCGCGAAAGCGGAATGCGATGTGATCCATGTACTGTGATCTGATTGGCGGTTGTTTCTTCCTCTTTCGGCGATTTACTCCACCATTGATGTTCGCCTATCTTAGTGCGAGCCAGCAATCTCGGTGAGTGTACCAAGATCCCGCGGGATACTGTGAATGTTCTTGACATCTCGCTCGAGACTGGTAATCTCGAAGGGTTGATAGCATCTGATATTAATATGAAAGCGACAAGCTCCTGAGTGTTGAGCTCTCGATAATATCAAAGTCTAAAGAGAAACTCGTTTAAACCATTCTGAAATTTATCTCCCCTTCAAAACATGCACTACCGGGTAGTCAATCACTTAGTTAGGTAAAACAGCAGCTCATCATGCTCGATATTTTATCTCAACTCAGAACAGGCTTAGCAACGCTTGATATTCAGGCCATTAATCATAAAATGCTACTGGCTGTCTGATCATAAAACATAAAAACACTATGCTTACATATCACCTACCAATGTCATAATCCGGTTTACCCGATCTATCCGCCGTCAGCTGAATACCTTTCCTTCATGCATCGGCCAACCAGAATACGCATCCTCGCGCGAACTAAGTAGTTTACAGCGGAATCATGAATTTTTGACAGCCGCTATTTAAGCCGCATAGCAACCATTCGGCCATGCCTCCGAGGTTCGGCAAGCAATAGCGCTGCCCGACCTAAGAGTCACTAAGCAAAATTTCCCAAGGCCTGTCAACAGCGCCCTTCACATGATTTCACAAACATCGTCCTTGCGACTCTCCCTCCATTCGAGCATGAGATGTTTTGCGTTTTGCGGTAACCAAAGGCAAACATGTCGACCGATGAATGGCTGGATCGGGTTATGCTTATAGAACAAGCTGTCGCCAAGTGCCGCGGAGATGTTGCGCATGCTCAATCGGCGCAGAATGAGGAGGAGCTGCGGGCAGTTATCACCACCATGTGTCACGATATCATCGGGATAATCGGAAGACCTCAGGTCGAGAGATCGCTACAAGCATGGTCTGAAGTATATCCAGAACAAGAGGGCTCCAAGCTGATAGAGAAGACGAGCATCTACCGCCATTTGGTCAGTGCTCAGGCCCCACATACGAGTCTCTCATGCTAATGAGCTTTATAGCAACAAAAGAATGCGCCTTGGATTCCTGCATCTGAGCAGGATCAAATAAGAACTGAAAATCAAGCTGTGTCTTTGAGGCCTACACCTGGGACTTCATCTTCGCCCCCATCGGTACAAGAGATGGACGTCCAGAACAGGGCGGAGAGACTTCGGGATGCCCTCTGCCTTCCACCTATTCGTCGGGCCTCTGCCGACAATATCAACCTATCGCATCCGAGATATATATCTCACTTACCACCAAGCCATCAAAGAACACCACAAGATGGTTATTACTCTCCGTTCACAACCTCTCCGACAACCCGAAGCAACCGTTCAGAGTCGCCGCGTGTTCTTCCCCCAATCATATCATTCGGCGACGACATAGCCGAGTCGCCTGTCTTTCATACTCCCCAGAGCAGTCGCCGAGCAAGCCAGGTCTCCTACCCAGCTTCAGATAAAAGTCTCGATCCATTCCAACCGATCCACTATGACCCAGATCCTCACGAGAAGGCAGCGCCAAGTTTGATGTCGCACGCTGCTAGCAATATGACAACACATGGCGACGTGAATCAGAATAATGGTACGTGTCGGATACCGAGTGACAAAAAGGCTGGGACTACATTCCATGAGATCCCAACGTCTTTAGCAGAGTATCTGGAGAGGATCCTTGCTGCAGGGGATATGCCGTTTACTCTGGCAGGCTTCAGAGACAGAGATAACTATTACAACTGCCCATTCTGTAGTGAGAATGGGAAGAGAAATTATAAAAGGTCAGGACCTTTTGCGGACCATTTAGCAAGGCACTGGAAATCACTACAGGCATAATATCAGGAGGGACATAGTCTAGTTGTCGAAGAAGAAATAATCGACTCCACTCATAATATTGGCTATTTACATAAACATCTACTCGTTACTATCCTCCAATCCGAAGAAGAGAAAGTTTACTCGCATGCGCAAGTCTAAATCTTAGGACGATTAAGCAAGATCTTGCCATCCTTGTCATACCAGATCTTCCGCGCCTTAACCTGTCGAAGGTAATCCTTTCCAGAAGTATGCGCATCAGCAAAGAAAAGCCACCACTGTCCTTTGTACTCAACAATACTTCCGTGAGTGGTCCACCCATCAACAGGGTCAAGAATCTTGCCCTGGTAGGTATAAGGACCGTAGATGTTCTTAGAAGTAGCGTAGACAAGGAAGTGGGTGTCACCGGTGGAGTACATGAGGTAGTACAGCTTGCCGCGCTTGTGAACCCAGGGTCCCTCGAAGAACCGACGCTTGTTGTCCTCGGCTTGAAGAGGCTTTCCTGTCTCGGGGGCGAGAATGACGAGATCGCGGGGCGTTTCGGTGATCTTGTGCATGTCCTTGCTGAGCTTGGCGATCTGGGGAGACAGGGCGTTGGTGCCGTTAGGAGCAGCCTTGTCTCCGATCCACGACTCGTTGAAGTTCTTCTTATCCTGCCAGGCCTGGAGCTGGCCGCCCCAGATACCACCCCAGATAAGATAGGCCTCGCCGTCAGTGTCGACATAGCTAGCAGGATCGATACTGTATGTGCCGGGGATCCAGCTCTTGTCGGCCTTGAAAGGGCCGCTGGGCTTGTTGGAGACAGCAACTCCAATTCTGAAGATCTCATCCTTGTCCTTGGCGGGGAAGTAGAGATAATATTTGCCGTTCTTGTAAGCTGCATCAGGAGCCCACATTTGCTGCTTGGCCCAGGGAACGTCATCGACTGAGAGAGCGACGCCGTGGTCAATAACGGGGTCTTTTCCGTAGATACTCTTCATGGAGTAGGTGTGATAGTCCCTCATGGCGTACTGTGCGCCTCCTGTTCCGTTGACGACATTGGCTTCGATGTCGTGAGATGGGTAAACCCAGAGCTTGCCCTCGAAAACATGAGCAGAGGGATCGGCGGACCAGAGGTCGGTGATCAAAGGTGGAATATCATTGGTGTCTTGGGCAGCGCATTTGCTAGCCAAAGACAGCAGGAATGCTGAAGACAGAAACTTGAGCTGCATCGTAGCGAACTGTAGAACTAACGCTTAATTGGCAATATTGAACAAGAGCCTGATGAACCAAACTATCGTGGATCGTGGCCTTGTCTTTTATACCCAGTTTTCTCGCTACTATACCAACTGCCGCGATGATGACCTCAACTAAGTTTGTCCCCTTGATAAATCAGGCTATTCCCCCTGGAAATACGGGGTTTGCGGGGTATCCTCTTGGCACAGGATTGGCCCGCCGGATAAAACAATTTTAATAGAGTTTACTGGATGTTTTCTATATAAACTCTTTGTCATGCTGCACCGCGCCCTCAACTAAGCAGCTGGGGGCGACAAAACACACCGCCAAGCGTAAGCAGATACGACGTCCATCACGGCAAGGTTTGTGCCTAAATGGAAATTCTATTACCCAGAATTATCCGTGTAGTATTGCGTTGATGTTAGTGAGAAAATAGTCTATTTGAGTTTATACTTGCCAGGGGATCGTCAGGAATATAGACACATTGGGAATTCAGTGCATGCTTGGTCGTGTCATGGACTGGTGCGCTTAGCATTAGCCCCGCAGAGTACCAGATGACCGGTCCATTCAGCTTACAAAACGGATGTAGCCAAGGTGCTTGATGCTACCTTATTGGATCTTGCCTCCCATGTTTTCGTAATGCATCTAGAACCTGAGATACATTAGACCCTGGGAGAACAAGAAACTCAAGATCATGCCGTTTCATGGTAAAGGGCCGTTTACGAAGGAGATGCCCTGAAGATGCACCGAATGATCCGGCCGTACTATCCGGTCGTTGATTAATGCCATGTGGAACACTCATCGAGTCTTAGCGTCAACGATCTAGATATAGTGGGCCTGGGGAAAATGCTCCGAATCCTGGCATCGTGTAGTAGGGAGGATCAGTAGTTAAGGCACAGCATGCGGCGATTGCTTCTTTTTCGGCAAAATCAAAGTTATTATTGTTACACGAGAATTAATTGGGGGCCAGCGTGGATAATGGTAATATACATGATACGACATGTACACGTGAGGGACGTGCTTTAGGCAACCAACCAATATGACGCCTGAGGTATCAACACGAACTTCATGAGCTGATTCCTTGTGGCAAAATGGAATACGCATGCAATAATCCAGACCCTATCAACCCAAGCCTAGTCAGCCTCCAAGATGACATACACAAGTCGTCATATGCGCCGTCCTGGTCTGAAACCAGCTCTATACTATTATATCCGTTTCGGTTTGAGGGACACTACCCCCAGACCTAGACCCGCCACACCATATCAGCCGCAATTATTCAAGCGAAGCAAAGAAGATGAAGCACAACTCAAAGAACTATGTGCACGTCACTCCCGGGATTGGAGTCAGATAGACGCACAAGCCTATGATAAAATCATGGACAGAGATGATGCTAGGAAGGATGCATCCAGGGAACCGCTGAGACTTATTATATACAGCTACTTCGAGCATCTCAACCTTCCTCCTCTGCCACCTCCTCTTCCAGGATGTAGTACAAGTGTACAAATAAAGAGGGCAGAAAACCACAGTAACGAGAGCGTAAGACCTTTTATGTTGGCTTGCGAAAAAGGTTTGCTTGATGAGGTCAAGGCTTGGACAGAAGATGGGGAACGGATAGAAGAGCTGCAACAGCTGGGTCTCCAAGACGGACTGGTCTACGCAGCGAGGGCGAATGAGATCGAAGTAGTGCAATATTTGCTCCACGAAAGATGGACACCTCTAAACGGTGAAGTGGTGAGAGAAGCTTGCGATAATCTCTCCCTCCCGCTATTCGAAATGTGCGTCCAGCATGGCTATCACCCTAATCAGCAGATACCTAGCCGCAATGGGTATTTCGGCGTTGCCATAAACCACTGCGTTCAAGACGTGGATATCACTCGTTTTCTTCTTGAACACGGTGCAGATCCGGATCTTGCTCCATTCAAGGACGGAAGGCTACACGACTGGGGGGAGAAAGCCACGCCGCCAATGGACCGTACATCAGGACTCGCGCTCGACCTTGCAGTTGAGAAGAGCCCAATGATAGTGGCGCAGATGCTTCTAGAGTACGGTGCTCATCCACAATACTCACGCCCACTGCATCGAGCTATCAAAAGACTGCACTGCCATTCAATTCCTGGCGCGGAGACAGACTGGAGACCTCTGATGGAAATGGCCTTGAGCCACGGCGCTGAGATCAACGCAAGGACCTACTCGGGCGGCACAGCGCTGTCGAGGGCTGTTCACTACAAAAACTGGGAAATTGTTGAATTTCTCATTGAGAAGGGCGCGGACCCGTTCGTCAAAGGCCCTGCTTCAAAACACGATTCGTTCGATTCAGCGCTGAAATTTGAGGATCAGCCTTGGCAGAGAAGCAAGGAGGTGAAGGAATATCTGAAAGGTTTGATGAGTGGATCAAAATTGGAGATTGGAGGAGAAGCCCTAGAGGAGGCGAGGAAGAACCCACTCGTGCGGATCATTGAGAAAGTAAAGAGCAGAGATGCGGCTGGACTAGAGACTCCATAAGCCGTTGGCTTGATATATGCATTTGTACCTCTTTACGTACAGGACAGTGTCTGTTCTATAAAGGTATAATCGGAAGCTGAGAAAGGAACCTCAATTGGCAATGGAGTTGATATTCACTTGAGCGAAAAGTCAATGAAACCGCGACTGTTTGCCAGCTTCCTCAAATAGCAGTTTCAGCCTTAGCAGACCCGCAGCCTCGGACGATCTACGTTTATTTGATCTTAGTGTAACGTATTTTTATGGATCTAGACCTTCGGGCCGCCTCCGACTCGAAATTGGTTGGATAGCAGTACCTAGCTCTACTAGCTATCCACTAAGAAACAGCAGACATTCACTAGTAGTCTATAACGCATTAAAGTACTGATCTGTACCTGCGGGGCATCCATCGGTGGCTTCGATAAGGATAAAGCTCAATCTCTTCCCCTGTAAGACCTAACTACATAATAAATAGTCCTCGCCACCTAATTTCTAAATTTCTCCTCATCCTCACTATCCCTCCCCAATCGTCGCAATGGCCGACGATTCATCCAAATCATCGACAGATCCCTCCGCTGCCGTCGGCCCCTCGAAAGAAGCGAACAAACTCCTCCTCGAAGAAACAGAACTCGACCAAGATGGCTTTCACAACGATCACCAGGACCACCTGGACATGCAGCGCCTCGGCAAGAAACAGCAGTTCAAACGAACGTTTTCGCTGTGGTCGTCAATTGGCTTCGTGGCTATTTACATGGCGACGTGGGAATTTGTGCTGATCTCGCTTGCGCCCGGTTTCACGAACGGTGGATATGCTGGTGTTTTCTGGTGTTTTGTTACCACGACTATCGCGTATTCTGCTGTTGTTGCGAGTCTGGCGGAGATGGCTTCTATGGCGCCTACGTCGGGTGGGCAGTACCATTGGGTTAGCGAGTTTTCACCACCAAAGTATCAAAAGGTTCTGTCTTATGCTTCGGGGTGGATGACGACGTTGGGATGGCTGGCGAGTTTTGCCAGTAGTTGCTATACTATCGCTTTTCAGGTCCAGGCGTGCATCAACGTTACGAAACCTGATTTTGCGTTTACGACGTGGCAGATTGCGCTGATTATGTGGGCTGTTATCATTGTCACCATCGCCTTCAATACTTGGGGCACTGCTTTTTTTCCGCAGCTCGAGACAGCGAGTCTGATTGGTCATCTTTTGGGATTTTTCGCCGTCATGATCCCTCTTTGGGTTCTCTGCGACAAGAATGACGCGCACGACGTGTTTCTGCAGTTTACGGACCAGAGTGGATGGGATAATATGGGCTTTGCGTACATCTCGTCTCAGATCTATGTTCTCTGGTGCTGCTTTGGTTCAGACAGTATCGTGCATCTGTCCGAAGAAGTCAAGAATGCGTCTATCGTTGTTCCACGAGCTATTTGGTGGTCATATGTTGGCAACGTCTTTTTTGGGTTCATCATGCTGATTACCATGCTCTTCTGCATTGGCCCTCTTGATGCTATCATCGAAGCGGACTGGCCCTTCATCGCCCTCTTCGATCGCACAGGCTCTCAAGGACTGAACTTGTTCTTCAATGTCATCTTGTGGCTTTTGGTTTACCTTGGTAACATTACGACTCTTGCGACTTGTGCTCGCGAGACATGGGCGTTTGCCAGAGATAGAGGTCTTCCAGGTTCTCAGTGGATTGGTCATATGTAAGTTTCCACTTCCACGTCGCACATCTTCTGCTAACAGTTTGCAGGGACAAGAAATGGCACATGCCCTTCAACGCTGTCTACCTTATGTCCATCGGCGCTGCTCTCCTCAGCCTCATCCAAATTGGCTCCGACGTCGCCTTCACTGTTCTGGTTTCGCTTTCAACACTGGGAATCATGAGCACTTACCTCCTCAGCATCGGCTGTGTACTCCTCAAGCGCATTAAAGGTGAACAGCTGCCTTCTGCTCGATGGAGCCTGGGTCGCTTTGGACTGGCGATCAACGCATTTTCTGTGCTTTACAGCTTGTTCATTGTCATTCTCTGCTGCTTCCCACTAACTCTGCCTGTTGATACTGCTTCAGCCAACTGGGCGCCTTTGATATGGGCTGGTGTTATCATCATCGCTGCCATTGCATATCTTACACATGGCAGGAAGGCGTACACTCCTCCGGTGAACTTTGTAGAGGGTTTCAAGTTGCAGGGAGTTGGTCTTCAACAGTCGTCGTAGGGAAAGTGAAAGAGGGGAAACTGTGCTGAAGCTTAGTATTAGACGACCAATCCGTCAATCTAACAATCCGACCCTTGCATCACAGAGCTCGAAAATTCCCCACTTTCTGCATTCCCCCAATATTGTGACTGCTCTTGCGGTTTCTCTCGGTTGCACTCCTTTTGCCTAACGTATCCTTCAGTACCAACCACGGTTTTCACCTTGTCTATAACATAGCTGATCGTATTTCGAGATTTGAATCTCGCAGCTACGTGTACGAAGTTTATGCCATTACCCACTGTAGTCATATCAACTCCCTGGTCAGCGAGGTGTGAGCAGATCTCTTTGTTATTGCAGTTGACCGACCCAAATCGGGGGGTCATTCCATCATCAGCCAGCTCTAGAAGTCGGCTGCGGACTTTGGGACTTATGTTTTCCGTAGATCGTTTCGCAGTATCGAGTCCTCTGATCGACGAACTAAGAGAAAGCGTGCTTTCTTCAATATCTGGCTCCATGATACTCTCAGGACTGGAGTCAACCTCCTCTACTTTTCTGCATCGTGACAATGATTTCGGGGTCGTCATCGTAGCAGCAATATGGAATGGGTTTCGCGGAATTTGTCCATTGGGGGCCATGAATCTCGATTCATCTTTCCCATGAGGCGACCGATTGCTCTAATTTTCCAGCTATCGATCAATTCAACGACTATGGATACAAACAGCCCCGCAGGAGTATATAAAGAGCTCCAACGATGGCAATTGCATTTTTCACTATGGTGCTCTTTATTAGATAGAAAAATGCACCGGGTTAGCCGTTTGCATTTGTGTAAATTACCTATATCGAGGCCTCAGCTGATATACTGTTGGTCTCTTGGTCCCCTCCATTGAAACTCAGCCTCTATTTTAGTTTATTTCAACTAATGATGCAACCCAGACATCCATTGTCCGCACTTTTTCACCGTCAAGTCCTTCAACAGCTCTTACAACCGCTTCTCTACCACTCGTAAGCACAGTCCTAATTTTACTATCCGCAACATGCTCCTCAATGTCGCCAAGGAAACTCTTGCTTTTCACATCGCCAACTTCCCAGCCCCCATCTTGAAGTCCTGCATGCGGTACAATTTCGGTCTCTCGTTCGACTTTCCAGCCAGCATCCCCGGCAATATGCTTGATATCAGGTGGACTCAGCAGACATCGGATGTTTGCCTCGCTCTCTGGTCTCTGTGCCTCAAATGTAGCGCGTGTCAAGGCAGCGAGCAAGTGAGGGACAGCAGCTGGCTCAGATGCCTTCATGGCGTACTCGGCAACACAGACTCTATTCACGCGTCCCTTCAGCGCTTTGAGCATACGGGCAAGGGTTTCTGGCGCATCGAGATACCATAAACAGTGCACAAAGACTGCATAGTCCCACTTCTTGTCCCCTGTATCTTTCAGAAAGTCATCGAGTTGGGCCTGCCAGAATTTCACACGCGCGCCCAAAGCGCCTTTGGTGATATGTTGTTGTGCCTGGCCAAGGGTGTATGGTGCACCGTAATCAAGAGGTGCGGGGTCGATGGCGTCAACATGGCCTTCTTCCCCAACGGCATGTCCCAAGACAACAGTGCATGTTCCCTGGCCGCATCCAATCTCAAGAATGTGTGATGAAGCAGGAATATGAAAGAAGTTGAGGAGCTCAAGCCTGTGAGTTGTTTGATCAATCTCAACTTGGAGTGACTCTGGCGTAGACAGGGAGTAAGACGCTATTGATGGAGCGATTGACAAGGGCATTGGCTGCCATGTCTCTTGAGACTGTGTCTGAGCTGTCATGTCGATACCAAATTTACCAGGAAACTGTTTCGAAAAAGTATTTTTGGTGTATGTAGGTATTTGAGGGAGTCAATGTCTGCGATATCAGACGGTCCAAGCTGACACTATTTATAAGCGACCGACAATCTTACCTGTGACTCATTCACTAACATATATCTCAACCTCCTTCCTATACGGGCAATCACCATTTTGTGCTTACAACAAGACTATAAAGGTCACAAAACGTCCATAGCAGCGAAAGAATACGCGAACAACAGTGATGATATTTCCAGTCACGTACAAGCTACCTGCGCTCACAATACAGGGTTGGATCCTGCTGCTTATGCCATGTCCTTACATGCCTTTCAACGTTGGCCTGTCGTGCCGTGCCATCGCGCGCCATTTTATACGTGCATCCTGGGAAGCTGCAATACCATTTGGTAGAGCCATGCTGTTCGTTGACATGGCGGGTGAGGTCCTTGCTCAGTGCAAAGCTTGCGTTGCACCCAACCTTGGTGCATTTGAATGGTCTGGTGTGAGTTTTTAGATGCGCGCTGTTTGCATCTATTAGTTTCGATACCCCCAAAGGGAATGGGCGTGAACTCACGTATAGGGCTTTTTGGTAGCAAACGCAGCTGGGCAATTGGGACATTGGTGAGCGTCTCCAGTAGGTACGCCACCCTGACTGTTGTCGTTTTCGTGAGAGCTGTGATTCTCAATAACCTGTTCTAGCCGTGTATCATCTTCGACTTGTGCGCTCTGTCCAGCAGGCTGAGGAGTAGTACTTGAACAACCCCAATCATAGGGAGGCAGAGGACCCGCATTTCCGGACTGAGTCCAGCTCGGATCAATGAACTGGAGAGTTCGATGTTCGTGATAACGTTCGTGATAATGTTCGTGTTCGTGAACTGAACTCTCTAGTTCCGGTGGCCCTGACTGGTTTTGACTAGAAATAAAAGACCCCTACCTGGGACGGGAAGTTGGTGGTGTTTTAACCTGCCGAAGAGAGACAGTAGAGGAAGAAAGAATACGACGGCTAAAGAGTTTCAAGGAGCGTAGACAGTTGGCGATAGAAGTGGATGCAACGAATGACTGCGGAAGCACCACCAGGGTCAACCGTGAAGAAGAAAAGAGAAATGCACGACCATCGCATATCGAGATAGGTTTATGTAGACGATTTCAGTCTAGAAGAGTGCCTCCAATCGGATATGGCGGATTAATTTGGTTTGGCCGATTGGCCAAACTCTCCGGCTAGGCCTCAGAATCTGCATGATGATGGTGGTTGCATCCGACTGGTCGAGCCAATCATAATGATGGTATTGAGACGGCAGTTGATTGAATTTCACAAGTTGTCAGCTTGAAAAACAGAAGATAAATATCTGGCACTTTCAACCATTATCTTCCAGTAATCTTCATACTTTCGTCAGTCTTTCTTCATATACCTTCAAAATGTCTACACTCTTCTGCTGTGGTACCGTCGAACCTTATCGTCCTCAATACCTTTCCCATCAATCCAAGTTCAACAACTTCATGTCATGGGCTTCTTTCCCCAGAGAGTCTACTCTTAATGAGACCCAGCATGACCTCTCCCAGCTCAATCCTTCTTACGCAGTCCAGCTTGTTAGACAAGTGAACTTCGGCCCGCTGGAGTCTAAAAGATACTTCATCCCTCAGAATACATCCGAAGGGCAATACGTTGAAGTGTCTGAGCAAGACTTGATCCAAGCCAACTTCAAGAAGCTAAATACGTAAGCCGACGCATTTTTCCTAAGGCATGAGAACCATGTCGACGATACTAACAGTCCCTCCAGCTACAAGAACTACAAATGCGGTGGCCACAACAAGTTCTTTGAAGTGAACATCTACCAGAAAGACCCCGTCAACAAACACCACTGGCGCGCTAATATCGCGAGACCCGCTGGTTCAATCGACCTCTAAGTTGCTTCTGGTGAGGGGGTCATGTTCTTGTAGCCCTACGCCATGCAACAGTTTCAAGGGCGTCATAGCACAACTCATATGTTCTATCGCACTGAATGGTGATTTGGCATAGGCCCCTAAGGTGGTGGTAATGCCCGAGGTATTGGCCCGAGTCTCAAGCTATATGTTGTACGTTTTGGCTAAGGCATCTTTGTAATCTCGCAGAAGAAATCAGCTGTCATAGGATATTCAATGCACTTCGAAGTGATATGTTTGCCTTTGTACTTCCCTAATTGCGTCGCTCATCTGCTTCGCCACAAATGCCAGCCACCGCCTTTGTCCTGTACTTGGGCAACTCGTGATTAAAGTAGAAAGGGTGAAACCGAGAGTGCCTAGCGTTGAGATGCTATCCATCAACGATCACGATATTAGTGTTTCTACTGAGAGGAGTATTTCTCGGGTCAGGCTATTGCCAGTTGGAATAAGTCTCGCCAGCATCCGCACTCTTTTCTTCCTGGAGGATCTTGGAGTGACCCCTCACTAACTTCAAATGAGATTAGAGTATTGGAGACCTTCTAATAGTTCCATTTTATTCAAATCTTATCAACTATAGTCTCTTATGCATCACCCAAGTCTACAACCGCTCCTTGGAAGGTCAATAGCCTCTCCAGGCCCCATTTCTTACTGCAGGTAATACAATACATTAGAGAACTCACGTCCTGCCTTATCTTCAAATCTACAATGCAATATGTTGGAGTTCGCCATACTTCAAACAATTCCACTTGGAGTCCAAGTCCAATTAAGAACTACGGTGCTGTATTTTATCGATAGGTTGTGTTTCATACACAGGGGCTACATTTTGGTCTTATGTACCTATAATATTGTTAATATAGAACTTTAGTATACTTATAGAACTGTCCAGCATTAAGAGTAGCGATATCCAGTATTTCTAACATATGTATCTGGCATCCTTGGCCGAAGAGGCTTACATCAAGGCCTGGAGACTCCAGCGTCACTAACAAAGGAGTCTAGTATCACTAGCAGAAGAGTCTAGCGATGTTTGAGATGTTTACATGAAACTTTATTGCAGCCTTCTGTTTGGAAATTCCTGTCAAAGCCACCTCGCCACTGCATCCCGCAGAGTGTGGTGCTCAAAGATTCAGTGATAGCCAAGACGTCTCAAGTACTCCAATGCCAGTCAGTGACTAGGAGACCGCGGTCTTTAGTGAATCACGCAGTGAATACTCTTAATCGTTAAAGACTCAGTGACGACTGAGATAATGACATACTCAGCCTGGCGCTACTCATACTGCCATCCTCTCCCACAGCACACCGACAAACGTGGCATCCTTCACAAACTACAACAAGGATTGCAGATTCTACGCTGCTTTTTGTTCCTGTCGTTACAATGGTAACTGAAATTTTCAGGGCGACCTATACCGAGCAAGACGCCATAGAAAAGTTCTTGAACAACGTCTTTGGAAAAGGAAACGCGACTGTGCAGGTAAGAAGCTTTCTACTGATGTTCTAGAGGCGCAAGGAAGCTGATATTATAATACAGTGGAAACAGGGCAAGTACAATTGTACGCTCCCGAGACATCTTACCGAGGTCAGTATATTCCCAAGTTGCTTGCAGCTCTAAACTCCATACTAACAGTAGAAGGCCGAAAAGAAAACGATGCAGGAAACCCTGAACGTTGAGCATCATGAAGAAACTAAGGACGGTGGTACTGGATAGATTGTCTGTCACGTGTAGACACAACTACTAGACATAAGTAGCTACTAGACACAAGTACCTACCAGACATAACCCAAAAAGAACCATCACAAAGAAAAGTTCCCAAATTCCAGACTCCCTTACTATAACGTGAGTTACGCTAATTATTTGGGTACAAGTGCTGTTCAGCTCTTTGGGGAAAAGTCTCAATTATCTGTTGTTTTGTGCTAAACGGATTGTCAACCTTTGCTAAACCGCATCGATGAGCGCCTGTATGTTCTAGCGAGGAATTGCATCGACAGCAACATTATCCTTTCTTATAGAGTTTCCAACAGTTTCAGCTTTATCGGCATTCCAAGGGTTGCCAATAACATAACCCTTCTTCATCGCGCATCTCGAGGATAACTTCTGGAAAGCGTTTAAAATCTGTCTGGACGATGATCGACTTCTCCCTTGCACAATGACGACTATCATCTCTTTTGAAATGATATCAAGGGCATCGTGTAAGAATTCAGAGCAATATGGATGTTGATGTAACTTGATAATCCACTTTCGAATATTAATAAGACCCCAAGGCATTGTTTCGGGACGACTTACTTCAACAACCTCAGCCTTTACCTGCACCGCGTAACTCTCTTTATGATGTCTTCTTGAAAAAGAAAAGAAGACATTATTATTTGCACCGTTGATGGACATCGTGGTCCTTGCATCATCAAACTCTTCGACACATCGAGGTCCGCCTAAGAACCAGGTTATTAGCTCTAGAAACAAACACCCCATTGTCCAGATATCAAAGGCTTTTGATATAGTTCCGCCTTCGATTTTGCATTCAGGAGGGCAGTATCCAGGAACTGGAGGAACCCTTTGATTGGGGATGTTGGAGCGACTCTTAGCGCTGTTGAGGGTCGACAAGCCAAAGTCAGAGATGACTAAAACAATTTCTTCTTCAACCCCTGATTTCTTAAAACAGAGAATGTTATCGCACTTAATGTCCCCATGTCTGCCATAGCCACTTGCTACTCCTTGGTCTACATGTTTCGGATCATGTATGGTCTGGAGAGCACCGATTAGTCCTAGCAGTTGGTTGGATAACCAGATTGTCGCCTTGTGGTCCCTGGGGGGTTCTCTCCTCTCCAGGTACTCGCTGAGATCACAGATCGCACTAGGGAAGATAAAACCCCTTTCTTCTGCACATTGAAAAGCACACAGGGCGGTCACTAGGTGGGGGTGCTTGAGTCCGTTGAAAAGCTTAAGCATCTTCCACTCCTCTTGGAACTTTGACTCATCATCGTGGCTTGTGGTGTGAAGTGTCTTGATTGCAAACTTTGTACAATCAAGATTGATCTTTTGTTTGGCTTATCAGCTTCCCTTCTCTGTAAAATAGTATTTGAAGGGCTTTTACTCACACTTGCCAATAGTTGCTGATAGGAATGTGAAGTTGGATGGATGTCGACTCTTGTCACTATTCCAAAAGTTCCCATATTATCTGAAACGTCATCATGGGGATCAGATGGCGTTTCGCGAGACCGACGCCACGGCTTGCAGGCGTCTTTATGTAGATAGTGCACTTTTAAAGGCTCATCTACTGTCGAGCTGAAATATGGCGTGTCAACTCTCCATTGATACGATTCAAAGTATTCTTTCTCTGAAGTTTTCCAGCCTTCGAAACATGGGATAGGTAGGTTAGGTCCGGCTACACGATAGACTGTGTTGTTTTCAATCCTGATAGGCAGCTGCTGGTCGTTAAACCCAGCATTTATAAAATGCCGAATATCATGGCAGCGTTCTTGTAATGCGAGCAGTGCGAAAACCTTGAGGAACGCTCCCGGTGGAGTGTAGTCTGCTGAGAGTTCTACCTCTGGCGGATGGATTTTGTCGACGTATTTATCAACTTCCGGGTAGTCGAAGCCATGTTCAGGTCGTTCTAGTTCGGTCTTGATTCTTCCTCGATTCAAGATATGCCGCAGCAACTTGTCAGTCCAGAATCGACCATTTATACCCTCCACACCATAATCTCGTAGGAGTTTTCCCAGGTCAACACATAGACTCTCTACTGGGACGAGTCCATTGCCATAATACTTGTACTTCTCCCTCGGCGTCTTCCCAAGGTCACCAAGCTCGGTCTTTAGGTCTGTCATTGGATTTATATAGTCGCCGTTGGTTCTATCGACTTACTTATCAATATGGCCGCAATTTGAGTCCAGATTATCAGAAAACCACTTACTAGGCGCATTGATATGTCCCAGATAATATTCTTGCAGCAGCGTGTATTTGTTTCTTCATCGACGATTCATGTAGTTTTCTATTGGCAGCCTTTGTAAGTCTAGACGGTTAGCACTATACATCATGAACCCGCTCTGAGCAGGTAGCATAAGTATAAGTAATTCAGGAACCAGAAAGCTTACCAGTGGTGTATTAACTATTAAAGTTTAGGCAGTAACCAAATACTTGTGGATTGTGAGTATTGGTTTTCCCAGCCTTTTGGACACGTATTTTGAAAGCGTCAAATTTAGGGAAGCGGAGTAAGTGGTAGCTTGAGCACGAATCTTTCTCTTATGAGGATAGCCACTTGTCATACGCTATTCGTCTCGAAAGCCACGCAGGCACTTTTCGTTGGCTTGTGCGAGGTGATTCAAGCGCCCGTCACACGTTGCAAAGTTTCTCAACATTGCAATGCCTCGACATAGCCATTGACGGATGACTGGACGCCTTTGGATCAAAGAGGGGTAAAACTTTCAAAATGTCGCAAGCACAGCCTCTTTAGGAAAGGTAAATAAGTGGCATGTGTGCCGATCAAAATATTGTTTGCCATAACTATTTCTATCCCTTCGAAAGTTGGTATCGTGACTCTGCAATACCAGAAAATCATAAATTGGGCGAATGACAATGCTATATGCTGCGAAAATGAAATTAGCAGAGTATTCAAATATCAAGAGAGACCAACAAGCCTCGTACGAGTACATTCAGACAGAAGGGTTCGTATTCTACCATCGAAACGGCTGCACTTTACTAACAGTATTTCAGAAGCCTTTGGTATGGACAATGTCTAATAGTAGTGATTGGAATGAATGGTTCAATAAGGTCGGTATTACCCTTTGTTCTTAAGCTTACTGAGACTCACGGCTTTCTAGCAGCACCCAAAGCTTGATGGATCAGACTCAGGCCTTGTTCTGATGTATATAATCCCCTCATCCATAAACTTCAGAGGTTGATCATATTTTTAGTCTATCAAGAAGAATCGGCGAACCCATTATCAATCCAGTGAAGAGTATCGAATCGAAAGACTGGATCAAGGCTATCCGAAAAGCAACAGTGCATGATAAAACTGCTTTTGACAAAAGTCTGCACGGCACCGGCGGTCAGCGTAACTTACGAACATTGCCATTTTCCGAGCAGTGCTTTCAGAAAATTGCAAAGAAGTTCTATATACATGACTCGATCAACCGTGTCGTAAGTCGAGCAAATGTTTCTCAGTTCTCGGCCGTCAAGCTAGAGATGGGCAGGCATGATGGTCATGAGCTACCAGCACATGGTACGTATCTCCTGATTAATGAAGGCGGGTAACTTCTCATGCCGGGACAGTATACAGCGCCCGAACTTCAAATGCTTGGGAGGGTGACCTTGCCGTATCTGCGACGTACTTCCCGCATTGTAGGCTCACATTCGCAGTCATGTTTGGCTATCCGCTGTCTGTTGAAGCAGAGATATTGACACGGCTTGAAATGGCGACCTACGAGATATGCCACCCACTATTGGTCCCTAGTATGCTTGTCAAAATCGAGAGGCGACGCCATCTACCAATTATAGATCACACTCTTGATGGAATTGAAGCGCGGTTCCTGGAGGTGGACGATCCCGAGTCTCTGCAATACATAACAGAGGCAGAGAAGGTCACTCGCAAGGAAGCAAAGAGATCAGCTTGGCTAGACATGCTGTATCTCCGCAACCAGTTGATGAGCTGGAATACATGCTTGGAAGCCCTGTACGAACATGCAGATCACCTTAACCGGACAAAATTTCGAGACATCACTATTTCTCCTCAATTGGGAAATAGGTCTACCGAGGAGTTTAGTATTCACGGAGACAGTTCTTCAGGCTCTGGCACAGATTGGAATGCCCCAATCGGTGAGTTATGTTTGGGAAACAGCCAGGACAGCCAGGAATCTAACACAGCTAATACAGATGTCTTTCTTGCGGATCTTAAATTCGGCGATAGTCAAAAGTTGGAATCAATAAGAGGTTCCAGAAGCTATATGAGACGAACAGGTGCCAAAATGCAAGCAAGACTGCGGGAGGTTATCAAGGACTATAATGAAAAGATTCGAGAGTGCACAGCTGGTTTTGAAGGCATGGCCATGACGACGCAATGGGTAAGTCATGCTTTTGCCTTCTTCGTCTCTTCCGAAACCTTTGCTAACAGCGTCAAGACCCAAGGTGAAACAAACGTCGAGATAGCATTGGCAACTAGTCAGGACTCACGTCATATGCGTTCCATCGCACTACTCACTATGATATTCCTCCCTGGAACCTTCTTTGCAGTAAGCCATAGCTCGAAGTGTTCGATAGACTGCTGACAGATCGGGTAGAGTATATTCTCGATGGGATTCTTTGAGTGGAAATCCGACGATGGTACTATATCTGTGTCTCAGTCCTTCTGGATCTACGTGGTCCTCGCCACAGGCTTTACAGCTTTCACTGTTGGAGCGTGGTGGTACATCGGAGTCTATCGCTACAAGAGACACAAGAACATTCCCTCAGCACTCAGTGCAAGCCGTTTCCTAAGTCTTAGACCACTCAAGTCTTTGCGACATTGGATTGTGAAGGCTATAATGGAAAGGGTGAATAGAATTTCATCTCCTCCATAACTTTAGAACTTCGATATTGTGGAGACTTATTACCCTAAATCACTAAAACGATTCTGCCTCGTTGCGCTTGACATGCAGTTGGTCATTATCTTAGATTTTGGTGAAATAGATATAAGCAATTAATTATACTGTCGAAGTTAGAAGGTCAAAGGTCTTAGTTATCAAATATAATTAAAGCGTTAAAACTGTTAGTAGAAAGCCTAAAACAGAGACGTAACATGTTTCAACTGTTTAGAAACACGTTATTACTGTTGTTTGGATATTTTATTTATATAATCTAATATAAACCTTAAAACCGTTATAATATCTAAAATTGTAACTTCGCTTCTCACCTACAGTAGACTTATTTCTTATTCGAAACATCTAGTAAAGACAGTCAGCCGAGAACCGAAGACCGTCGTCATGGAGCTATTACTTACTGAACTGGAAATGGATGATATCTCCATCTTGAACAACCTGCAGAGAATAAAAGTGAGCTTTTGTGGCAGTTCTAGTCGCTTGCACTTACATATGATTTTCCTTCTTGACGGTACTTGCCAGCTGCTTTGATGGGACCCATAGACTTTTGTCCTTCGCAAAGATCATGGAAGTCTTGATAAGCGACAACCTCAGCTTTGATGAAGCCTCTCTCGAAGTCACTGTGGATAGCGCCAGCGGCTTGCGGAGCCAAGCAGCCCCTAGGAATAGTCCAGCATCGAATCTCCTTCTCGCCAGCTACATACGAGTCAGCGTTGATGTTACTACCCAGAGGATGTATACAAACCTGTGAAGTAGTATTGCAATCCAAGCTTTGTGAATCCTTCGGTAATGATCTTGTCTAGCTTTGACTTAACCTTGATGTCCTTAAGAAACTCAGCTTGAGCATCGGGGTCATCCTTCAAGCTGTGCAGCTTTTCTTCGAACTCGATCGAGAAGGGAATGATATCACGGGGGGTTCCGCCATGCTCAGTAACCCACTTGGCAATACCGGGGAGGTACTTGCACTTCTGTCGAAGGTAGTCCTTCATTGTCAAGTTGACGAGGTAAATGACTGGCTTGGTTGTGATGAGCTGAATCTTCTCGTTGATGAGGGCGATCTCGGCAGGTGTCCAGCTTCCATCTCGAACTGGCTGGTCCTTTTCCAGCATCTATTTCGTGTCAGTCTTATTCCCATTCCCCTTACTTGTTTTCACTAACCTCTTTAATCTTGGTTGTTGTCTCAGTGAAAAGAGGCAACATCTTGTACTTGCCACCAGCTTTCTTGACGATCAGCTCCTCAGCGACGATTTGCTTCGCGAGAATATCTAATCTCGACGTTAGTTTATTTCTTTACCGCAGAGATGGTACATACCGAGATCCTTCTTGCAGAGCTCGCTTTGGATGGTGTCTATATGAGCCTTTGTCAGTTAAGTTGCCTCTAGATACGGTGCTAGTCTTACCCAAGTCCCGAACAGGGTCAATCGAGTCGTCGACATGCAAGACTTGATCGTTATCAAATGCTCTGTAGAATAACCCAAGTAAGCCTGGTTCCTTACCATTCTGTTCGACAGAACCTACCTGACAATATGGAACATGCCATCAACGGCCTGGATATGTGACAAGAAGGCATTTCCAAGACCTTCTCCCTGAGAAGCTCCCTTGATCAAGCCAGCAATGTCGGTAACCTGAAGATAAGCAGGGTACATAGAAGGAGGCTTCCAAAGATCACAAAGAAAGTCCTGAATTTCACCGATTTAGCTCATCCCTCACCGATATTTCGTAGGACCCCAACTTACATATCTCGCATCCGGAACAGCACATCTCGCCTCATTAGGCTCAATCGTACAAAAGGGATAATTCTCCGCTGCAGCACTCTGCTCCGTCAAGAGGTTGAACAAGCTCGATTTTCCGACATTAGGAAGACCGACGCATCCCATTTTCAAGTTCTTGCGAACTCTTCCAAAGGCGACAACATTATCGATAACGGGCTCGGGTTTCTTGGGAGCCATTTTTGATAGATACTTGCTGAGATTGAAGTTGAGATGTTTTCTGTTGGTGTTTTTGTTTTGAGAGGATTCAAAGGATACGAGTGTGAGGAAGACTTTTCAGAAGTGGCCTGATAGCCCACTTTAAAGACATGGGTGTAGAGTGTTCTGGCCAGTTAGTCGAAAGCCACGTTGATACGCTGTAACCTCAAGAAAATATGAGAAAACGATGAATATTAATATTCATTGAGTTTATTCAATGTCTATTACGGTTTATTAGTTAGGATAAGTACAGAGAGGTTCCAGTCTAGTGCATACAATGCTTCATATCGCCCAGTGAGGGAAAAAGGCATTCGTGAGGGGTATCACGTGAAGGACCCTGAAGATTTAGTGGAGGGCGGAGATGCCGTTAATAAACAGGTCTAAGCCTAACTCAGCTTCGGTTAGGAAGCGAGCCAACGTTGAAACGTCGCAAGCACGGCCACAGCTGTGATTATCCACAGCCACGACCAAGCCACCATTAGGGACTAAGTTTGTGACATCTAGGTATCCTGAGAGATGAAAAGCTTTAGGTAAATCAGGTAGAGACTTAGAAGACCTTCCGACCATGCATCAGGTAATTCACCAATGGGTCTCGCAACAAAGTTGAACCGAACTCTCTAGTCTTATTATTCTAACAAGCACTCTAATTACCAGAATCCATGGGCCAGCCCATTACTTCCAGCACCCCATCACTCCAAGCCAAGACATAATCTCTCCCCTTCACCCCAGCCATTACATGCCTTGCCGCTTTTTGTCCAAGCCTACAAGAGACTTTATACAGTGCATTATATCTTAGTTGCAACCAGCGGCCTGAGCGTTTTGCTTGTTCTGGCCGCCTTGGTGGTGACGAGTCTCGAGATCTCGCTTGCAGTTGTTGGCCTGGGCGTTGTTGCCAGTTGCTGCGGCAGCGGCTTGGTTGCGGTTGTTGCCATTGCGGTTGGCACCGGCGGCGTTGGCCTTGTTGCCACCTTGAGCTCCCTGATGGTGGCGAGCGACGAGCTCCTCACGCTTGTTGTTCTTGCCGTTCCTGCCCTTGCCCTTTGCTCCCTGGTGGTGACGGGCTACGAGTTCCTCGTCACGCTTGTTGTTGTTGTTGCCATTGGCGTTACCGTTGTTGGCAGCGGCATTGTTGTTGTTGTTGGCAGCGGCGTTGTTGTTGTTGTTGGCAGCGGCGTTGTTGTTGTTGCAGCCGTTGGCAGCAGCAGCAGCTCCGTTGCCATTGGCATTTCCATTGGCGTTGCCGTTAGCATTACTCTGGGCGTTGCCTCCCTGGTTGCCCTGATGGTGACGAGCTACAAGCTCCTCATCTCGCTTGTTGTTGGCGTTGCATCCATTGGCGTTGGCATTAGCGCCAGCATTGGCATTGTTGTTGGCATTTTGACCCTGAGCCTGGTTGTTGTTCTGGTTGCCCTGAGCCTGGTTGTTATTTTGGCCCTGGGCCTGGTTGTTGTTGTTCTGTCCGCCTTGGTGATGAGGCTATGCTTGTTAGATGAAGGCCTACCAATATACATAAATATGACTAACCTCGCGTTTCTCAGCGCTGAAGATGGGGAGAGCGAGAGCGTCTGCGGGAAGAGCTGCAGCAGCCATCAAAGCCTTGTTCACGTTAGCTTGAAAGTATTATGACCATGGTGAGTAACTTACAGCAACTTGTCCAAAGCTAGAGCGAGAAACTCGGCTGTCTTGCGAGAAGGCCTGAGCGGCGAGGACAGTGACGACAACGTTGGAGAAATACATCTTGACTTGGAAGTGATGAAAAAAGGTGTAGAAGTGGTTTTTCTGACCGGCAGGTAAAATGAGAGTGATGTAGAATAAAAGTAGGACTAGCCTTGAAAGTTGATGAGAAGAGAAAGACGTTTGCGTCAAGCAAAGCTAAGCTCAGATGATTGAAGAAGGAAATGTGAGTTGGTTGAAGAATTAAGATTGGAGCTGAAGATGCTAAGCTTCTTATACTTCTTGACTTAGGCAATGTTAAGCCTAACTTGAGATGATAACCCCAGATTCTTTCCGTCTTAGAATAGATCGTTGCCCCCTCGATCTCTCCAAGCTCAGAGAATCGTCAAACGCAAGCGCCAAGACAAGACCGATAGCGTTTGAAGACATCTTGGACATGATGCCGACATTGCCGCCCTGTTGAGTCAACAACGCCGTATACGAAAAAGGGCGCTTTCTCCTTGATACTCGCGCGTCGGCCTCCCGCTAGGCAACTTTGAGGTCAAGGTGTAGGGACGGTTAGAGCGGCCAATCATGAAACTCCAGCCTCGGCCGAAACCCAAGGCTCTGGTCGTTGTTTGCTTAAACGCGAAAACGCGAAGTGACATGCCAAAGTCGATGGTGGCGCGTGATTGGTGGAAGTAAAACTCAAACAAGTTTCGATGGTTTCACATGATTGGTCTAGAAAACACGACCCCTGACGGCTACGACGTATAGTGCCTCACGTTGCCTGAAAATATCACTCACCCCTGTTACAGATATTGTCTGAGCCTATAATTCTCGGTGACTAATGGTTTACTATTCCTGATTCGAGACCTGTCAAACCCGTGAAGCTGGAACATTGTTTTAAGTGGGCGGTCTGGATGACTTCAAGTAGTATTCTGTTGTCGCACGAACCATTTCACGTTTCGTCTTGGCGTTTGAAGAATTGTTATTGGGAGCCGATTACCCGCTCACTGTCGAACCCAAACGCCAAGTTAAAGAAGACCAATTATAGAATCAGGTTCTTGAACAGTGATATATACATCATTGCTTCAAAACTTGTCGCACTTATTCTTTTTCCCTCATCGCCCTGGAGGTCGACGTTCATTCTGTCACTGCAGGCCAGTCATTTTCTCTAGCTTTTTCGAGGTTCAGTTAATCATTTTTTACAACAATGGGTTCAAAGTATCGTCCAGTCCCTGAAGATGAGGAGCAGCAAACTTATGAGAAGAATGCTCTCTTATCACCTTTACCCATCTACACCAACATCTCGCCATTCATCTCACAGCCAGGCGCACATCCAATCTTGATATGGATTTGTCACGGCGTCTTACTCTCTTTTTCATTGGCGTTCTTCGCTCTTTCATTACTGCTTCGCGCCAGCCCTTTACAAAGTGGCGTTTGCAATCAGCCAAACTTTCCTTACTGTGAGTATGTCACGGCCCTTTTCTGGCCTTTATTGACAAGAATAGCTCCGGCAGAAAGTGTTGCAGACTTCCATACGGTCCGATACAATATTACTCCAGCCCTCGAGATGTCCGAGTTCGTCGGATATGGGCCCGAAGTTGACAAAGCGTGGAACCATGTCACATACGACGTCGGTGATCAAATGATTTCAAAAGCTGAGCTTGACAAATTGGGTCTCGACCCCAAATCCCTCAAGGTCAAGGATCCCAAGACAGGGCATAAGGGCTATCGCGTTGGAATCCAAGTCTTCCATCAACTTCACTGTCTGAACTTGCTTCGCCAAGACACCTACCGGGATTACTACTCCAAGATGGGTGGCGATATTGAGGTTGAGCCTGAAGACTTGAGAGGACATCTAGGTAAGTCGAACTTTTTGGGTCGGTTGCTTGATAAATCCTAATCTGATTTGTAGATCACTGCATCGAGATTCTGCGAAACAACATAATGTGCCAGAGCGACACTGGTGTTTTCGCATTCAAGTATTACGATGGCTATGATGATCACTGGCCTGATTTCAGCACGCTGCATACATGTCGCAATTTTGATGCCATTCGAGATTGGGCTTTTGAGCATGCTGTTGTATTTGGGGATGAGGATTGAACACATCGTGGTAACCATTTAGATAGAAATATAAAACCAACTATAGAACCCTGGCGGTAGACAATGAGCCATTAATCTCGATCTTCATCCACTCTTACCTGGCTGCGCAGGCCTTCAACTGCAGTAGATTTATGACATCGGCTTTTCATGTGATCAAGCGTTATGCCTACCAGAAGTAGTATTGATAAGAGTTGCGACAAACTTCCGACTTATAAATGATGACTTCTGACTGGCTGAAAGGATGTGGGGAGTTTATATCTCAGCTGTCAATTATTCACAGAATGAAACTGGGCATGCAAGCTGATAACGTCAGATGAAAAAGTCCCTGCAGAGTGCTCATTCAAGCTTAGCCGTGCATGCATTTTAATTGGACCGTCTAATTGGGATCTGATGGTGATAAGATAAGATGGGGCCGATAAGATCTTCAACATTACCCTACAGAGATAGATTTAAATAACAAAAAACTCTATCTGGCGTAAAAAACTAAGTTTACGCATTAAATAATATTGAATGCAGTATCTAGAGTCCCTATCATCTCTTTTTCTTTTCTTCAGAAGGTCCCTTGGCAGCTCTGAGCAATGTCACTTGGTTCTTACGCGTTAACAATTTTCACTAATGACTCGATCACTCTGAGACAATGCACATCTCAATAGACACAATCCGTTGACCCGAAATGGCCCAATTCACTCGCCAAGCCGGCATCGGCTTGAACCCCAACATCACCTCCACAATCTATCAAGATAATGTGATCACTTTAGCCTAAGCTTAGCAAAAGTTCTCAAGCTCCGGTAGTTAACCATACCATAATGCTTCATTTTAAGCTTACAGGGGATTGACCCGCCCAGATCAAGCCCGTGCGTCGGCAGAAGATCCTTCCAAGACGGGAAGGTCTCTTGGCGTCCGAAGTTCGGCTGTCTCGTATTTACCACGGCGGCCATTTCCTTTAACAGAAGGTCCAGGGGTTCATTTCCGAACACTAGCATAGGTACGGAATAGGCACCGCGGCAAGCTGTCCACTCATGAGTCAATATGGCAGGTCGAATTTACGGAATAACTTGTGTAGTTGCTCTTATGGGGAATTGGCATAGATAAGGATGGCGAGTTATGCTATGATGGGATGGACCTTTGGTCTGGATGAACGGAGATATGGCATAATTGGAAACGATCGCCATGAGATAGTAAGATGGATAGATTATGCCCGCTGTATATCGCTGCCGAGAACAAGAGAATATAATTATAAATATCAAGTGTAGTTGCATAGATTATAGTCGATATCCTCATCTTCGTCCATCTCTTCACAACTCATCACCGCAACAATGGTTTCTAAGCTCGCTCTCGCTCTCTTCTTCGGCAACGCCCTGGCTGGTCTGGCCGGACGTGCCATTCCTCCTCGCTGTGCCATCGCAGACCCTACCCCCGAGCAAGTCCAGCACGCTCAGAACCTCAAGAAGATCGAGTCCGTCTCCAAAGTCGCAGCTACCTCTATCACCGTTGACACCTACTTCCACGTTGTGTCTTCATCCTCCTCAAAGTACATCACCAAGGCTAAGCTCCAAGCGCAGCTCAAGGCCTTGAACGATGCTTACGGTCCTCATGATGTTACCTTTAACCTCATCGATACCACTTTCACCACCAACTCTAACTGGGCTGCTGGAAATGGCGAGGTTGCTATGAAGAGACAGCTTCGTCAAGGTGATTACAAGACTCTCAACTTGTACTTCACTGACGTTGCCAAGCTTGATGGCCTTGATGCTCTTGGATACTGCTTCTTCCCTGAGCCTAATGTGTCAACTGGATCTTCAACCTTCATCCGCGACGGTTGCGTCATTGTCGCTGAGACCGTCCCCGGAGGTTCAATGGCTCCTTATAACCTCGGTGGAACTGCCGTTCACGAGGTCGGTCATTGGTTCAACCTCTTCCATACTTTCCAGGATGGTTGCACTGGTGGAGATCTGGTTAGCGATACCCCTGCTCAGGCTAGCCAAACCAGTGGATGCCCTGCTCGACGGGATAGCTGCCCTAACCAGGCTGGTGATGACCCCATCCACAACTTTATGGATTACTCCGACGAGTAAGTTATTTCGAAACGTTGACTGATACAATTACTAATACTTATTCCAGTGTTTGCTACGAGGAGTTTACCCCTGGTCAGAAGACCCGCATGCACAGTGCTTGGACCACTTACCGCAAGTAGATTTGCGATTATGAGATGAGATGAGATGACAAGACATGTATATAAATGTTTGTACATATTTCTGCATGGGAGCGATGTGGAGTTTGCAAGTTGGTGGGCATGACTGTATTGGTGTTATCTGGATAGCGAGTATGAGTTTAGACATGAAGAGATGAGTTGATCTGGAACGTTTCACAGGTTTTAGTCAATTGTAGACCCCGTACGGGGTATAGTGAAACCACGGTTCCTTCGGTAGTCGCCGTGAAATTCTTTGAAACTTCGGCCAATCCCGAACTCATTTATTTGGCTGCATATGTAGGCAAAAGCGCTGTTATAACCCAGGTATGAAAGCCGTCGCGAGATTGCAATACACATATAGAATCCCCACTTTAGATGAGCTTAGTGTAGCTACTCTAAAACTCATGCTAAATTTAGTCCACTTACTCAAAGCTTTGACCAAGTTTAGTATAGTTATTCTAAGCCTAGCAGCGAGGATTCCAGCTAGTTCCGAAGCCGAGAGATTCCCTCACAAAACCCATTCATCTTCTCAAGCTCAAGGAGGTACTGGCTTGAGTGGCCTGCCCACTCTGGCACACTTGAAGAAGCTGGTCCAGGCTGTCAAGCACCGCAGCTTGCGAACTTTCCAGTGATCAGGGTTGGTTGGGGACAGTGTTCACACTTGGTGAACTCGGGGGAGATGGTGATGGTGCTTGGGGCTGGGGGACGGTGGCTTGAGCAGTGGCTTGGGGAGCGGGTGGGACAGTGGCTGGTGGGGAACGTGAGATGGCGTTGTTGGTCTGTACACCAACGGCAGGTGGTGCAGGCGGGACGCGAGTCGGCGGGGGAGGGATCCGGACAATGCGTTGGGCCTGGCGATGTCGTGAAGCGTTGGTCGAGGCCTGCGCATGGGACTGGCCACGTGACTGTTGCGCTGTATTTATTTTTGTTCAAAAAAAATGGCCGGAGAGCAGAAAACAGGAGGCAGGGCTCAGATGTGATGCGATGTCTAAACAGCTCTAATATAAAGATATAAGAACTTAGTTCAGCCTCAGAGGCACCTCCTCCAAACAACGAGAAATGCACTTTTTCTGCGTCCTCGATCAGACAACATTGAGGGACCGTAGCGAATGTCAATCGAGTCAAAGCTGGAGCTGGATCGATAGCAGGAGGTACAGCAGTATGAAGAGGATGAGGTGAGACATGAGAAAGAGCAAGAGGAGGAAAGGTAGGAGTAGTGACAGAACTGCAAGTGGAATCGTGGCTATAACCGATGTCGCAGTTGGTGACGGTGGACGAGGCGGTGCCGCCGGAGCTGGGACTCCTGTGGTCGGAAGTTGTCTTTGGCGCTGTCGAGAGGCGAAAGTTGATGATTGCACCCGTGGTACACCATTTTCCATGACAGGTGGCTGTCTTGATGAGAGAACCATTGCTGTTAGTGTGAGGGGAGGAGAATGATACAAGTAACAAATGGGTAGCGAATATTAGAATAAAAGTTAGGCCTGATGAGGGACACGTAGCATGAGCAGGTTTTCAGCCCTAGACACGTGAAGTACAAACTATCCAGCCTCTCTAAACTCTGCTTGAGTGGCGTTGATTGAATCTTGCCTGCTAGCCTGATGCTTTTCGAGATGATGATAGTTACTGATAACCATGAGCAGCCGACAATGAAGACGGAACGTGGCCATCTATTCGTATAAAGTGTGATAAAAAACAATAAAAGATTAAATCAAACTAGGGTATGCCTATGTTGACACATCGATCATATGATGGTGTTTCGGCGTATCTTGGACCGTGATGTGTTTTGGCATGCTGCCCGAAATATGCTTTTGAGGGTGCTACTTTGAGTTGGTCAACCTGGTAGCTGACGCATCAGATAACAATCAGACTCTACTTGAACTAATTTTCAAGGACCGTAATTAACCCAAGTCGCCCAAAATCTCGGATCAACACCAGCTTGCCGCTGTTCCAAAACAGCTTGTCTCAACGCCCTCGCAGATCGATCCCCCGTGACACCCGTCCCTCCTTTCAGTAAATCCGCATAAAAAACCTTGGAGACAAGACCACATGTCTCATCTTCTGCCTTCCACAGACTAGCCACTACACAGGGTACACCCGCCATTTGGAAACCAGCGGCAAGATGGATCGATTCCTCTGGAAGCATTGGATCACCCGTGATGGCTGTTTCACAGGCGGATACATAGATGAGAGAGCAGTTTAGCTTCTTTGGCGCTGACATCATGCTTTGAACGTCGAGCACGTTTCCTCTTGTGATCTCGCCATTTGCATCTTGGGTGTACCAGTCCCGTAGGAGAAGACCGCTACGTGCTGGGTTTAAGTTGTCGACTTCCCCGTGGCAGGCGAAATGTGCGACCTGCGAGTTCAATAGACCCACGAGTGCCTCCTTTCGGACTGGACGGTCATGAACTACGGCCTCGTATCCTCCGCGAGTAAGAATGGTGTCGATAGCTTCGATCTCGCTTGAGGCATATTGAAGCGGCGCAAGGTGATCTGTTGTCTCCATCTTGACCAGCATCGCTTTCTGATGTCCACCATGTTGCATGATCTCTTTCTCACGATGCCTCACGAATGACAAACCTCGAAGGGTATTTGTATACGATGGAACGCATCGATCGAGCACCGTGCAGCGCTCTCCCGTCTCTACTGCCCGTCGATGATCTCCAGCCGTATGAATGGGCCAAGCATTAATGCTACTCGTCGTCAACCACCATACCCTCGGCAAATTTCCATCTTTGGGAACTCCATCATACCCCAGACTGAGTAGAATGGGTTCTGCTACAACGTCCCAGAGCCATGTGAGTAGATAATGGAGAAGATCCCCGCCCTGATCATCTCCGTCACTCGACATATTAATGGCCTCACGAAAGAGTTTTTTATGCTCCCTGATATCATCGACAGTGAATCTGGGAAGTAACATCTTCCGGATGTCAGTGGTGGTTATGATGAGAGCGTAGCCACCACTCAGAGGTTCCGTTTCGACTATGACGATGGGACCAGACTCCGCAAGTTCATAGAAGTGCGAGTCCTCGCGTGGAAGCCTAAGAAAATCTTGGAACCCTTCTTTTGCTCGGATCTCGGCTATCAGCTCCTGAAACGAAGTTGACTTATTGAAAGCCGTCTGACTCTGGAGAAACTTCTTATCAAGGTCGAATCGAGCCGCGCGCTGGCCCTTGGCCTTCTCAGACAACCTCGCTTCAGTGAAACGAGTTGCCAGATCTGGAAACTGCTCCTTCAACTGATCTAGCCCAGAATCTACGCCCTTGTTGAGAATCTCTTCCCACAAGACACATCGGCTTCTCTCATACAGCTGTAGCGATTCAACCACTGAATCTCCAGCGGCAAGCGAAAAGCAGAGAGCAAGTGTCGGTACGGCTTGGAATTTCTTGGCTTGACGTAACTGATCAGCCCGAGTGGTACAAGCATATACCGCAAAGGGGAGATCCTCAGCTGCCTCTCGTATGTAGTTCCTTGCAGCTGTCGAGTCTTTTGCTACAATATGCGCAAACATGGAGGCATAGACCTTCGTCCACGCGAGCGCATGACGAGCGATGCCGGGCGCCGATGAGAATTGAGCCATCATTATTAGGTATGCATCAGCAGCGACGGTACTCAACGGGGCGGGACTGACGTTCCAGATTGCGATGAGTAGTTCTGCTTGATTGATGAGAAGGCCTCCACGGTTAATGTCGTCCATGCCGCCCAGCGAGATACACTCTTGGAAATTCACGAGGGCATCCCGAAGGTCTCGTAGACTGAGTGTCTTTCTAGCTCTGTACTGCAACGTACGTGTCAGATTCACCCGCGCGGAGAATAAGTAAAACTTGTCCATGCATCCACAAGAGAGAGCTTTATTGAAGTTCGTCTCAGCTTGAGCAAGAAGGCTCAGATCTTCCTCTCGGTGATATTGACGAAGATACGCTGTTCCGAGCATATTATGCAATGCCGAGATTTCGACCGGGGGAAGATTCAAATTCGTTCCCAGGACCTTTTCCACGATCTGGCCAGCTCTGATGACATCTCTAACATCGTTGGTATCGTCGTACCTGAGCTGAAGAGCATGGCTGAGACTTCTCGTCCGGGAGCCGGCCCGAACTTCGGTAGGCCCAGTTGAGTCCAGACAACTTTCAAAGGCCTTGATCGCTATGTTGATGTCTTCCAGCCTTCCAGAGAATTTGAACTGATACATAGCCGTGTTCCCCAAACCATGAGTCAACATGATATCCATAGCGCCACTTGTAGACCCCTGCTCCTTCGAGGCATCGAGACCGTCCTGATATGCTTCAGCTGCCTGAGAAAGATACTTGAAGTCGCCGGTGCATTGACATTTGACAACGTAAGCGTTGCCGATATCATTCGCGACAGTAAGATAAAAGGCATTCGTCCGAGATGTCAGTCCCTTCGCTGCAATCAGTGCCGTTAAAGCACCATCGATGAACTGCTCTTGTCCTGGAATCTGAGCCGACACAAAAGCCGCCCTCCCTGAAGCTCTCAAACATCGAGCTTTCATAGGGTCATCGAGGTCGTTGAGAAAAGGCAAGACATCGAGATTTGCCTGACATGCGTTACGGAGATCATCTTTATTCCCATTGGCTTCGAATCTGAGGAGAAGTGCTATGGCGAGTTGTTGATAGCAGTTGATCTGCTGATGGCCTTGTAAGTCTGGGTGGTCGAGGGCATCTTGGAGGCATTTAACAGCCCGGTCAATTTCCGAGAAAAGCCCGGTTTTGCTGAATTGTTCTTCATGAGCACCTGCGTCTCTGATCAGTCGTGCCGGTGTTTTTGGAGATGGATCAATGATCTGTAGCTCATTCATCCGCTCGATAAGCTTGTCTGCTTCGACTTGCGTTTCCCGGTGGTTATTCTGTTCAGCCCTTTCACCCAGTGCATTCGCCAACTCCTCCAGTGCCTCTGTGGAGTTTGGATGGACCCGGAGGGCTTGTCTCAAATAACCAATCTCAGCAGAAGGATCTCGTGTGTTCTCTTCCTCATTGAGCTTCTGCTGTAACGATGCCAAGTTGATGAGACAGTTGAATCGATCTTTCGGACGCTTTTCTTCCGAGACTGCGAGTCCTCTGTTGAGAGACGCCTTTGCCTTCCTGAGGTTCTCGATATCCTGGTTCAGGTCGTATAAGTGAACGAAACACGCTGCGCGAGCACGATGGATATCTGCAATGGTGTATCTGAAAGGCGTCGAGTCGAACTGACTTGGGACTGAGTCTTCGGCAAGCTGGAGAGTGGCCATACTCTCACGAAGTAATCTTTCCTTGTCTTCTTCCTGAAACAAGGCTCTTTCCTGCTGCAGCTTTGCCAAGCCAAGATAGAAGATCGGTTTCCCTGGGAAAGGCGTCGCCAAAGCTTCGTGGAAAGCCGCATTCGCATCGTCAAAATCGACCTCTCCGTGGGTAACCTTATACCTTTGTGTCAGAATATCGCCGAGGTCGTCCAGATGCAATGCTCGGTTGGAATGATCCCGCGGCCCAAAGTCAACAGCCTTTCTGAGATATTCCACGGCCCGATCCAGAGCCTCTGGCTCATCATCCGGCGTTGCAACCTCCCATTGTCTCCGCAGAACTCTCCCAAACATGCTGACAACGACCCCTCTCATAGGCTCGCTTTTAAGAACGTTGAAAACAGCCAGAGCGCCCAAGAGAGCGGCATCCTTCAGGCCAGACGTATTGTTGCCGACACCTCTCGTCATTAAGACTTCTTCACTTGCCATGGAGAATTGCTTTGCTCTCTCGGAGCGATCCGAAAGCATGACAGCATAGATATACTTGCATGTTTCGGGATCCACGTCGTTTAGAAAGTCTTTATTACGGCAGAACTGACCGTCCGGAATGAGCTCCTCATCTTGTTTTTGAGATGCAATCAATGCTGCTGCATGTTCTAGTTGACTCGTGATATCTGACGCCATATTGAATGTCGTGAGAAGCCGGCAATTGTATAGTAATTTACTTAGTGACAGGAAAAGAGGGGAAAGCCGATTTGAGCAAGCACTAGGAACAGCAGCAAGCGACGTGATCACTGGACTCTGATGCGGGGTTTTCGTGCTAATGTACCTATGCAAGAGATTTGAAACATTGGCCCCTGGAGACAAAAAGATTGGAACGATTCTAGGACGATTTGCGTCCTTTTCAACTGCAAATTGACGGGTTTATTCTTCCCTTGATTAGCGAATGAATGCGACCAGCTGATAGGGTACAGTATCACAAGCTGCAGCGCAGTGTAACACTGCGTGCATAAATATTGGCACGCTATTAGCGCCACATCGGCTAAATCGGGTCCTGAGATACGAGGTATTTGTGCTGCCTGCTTGGTCAGTTGACCCAAGATAAGATCAGACCTAATACCCCTCTGTCATGCAACAAAATCTCCCAGAACATTAGAAATAATGGGCAAGGCTTTAGATCTCAAGTATGCCGAGCTCATGCGGGCACATCCTTTCGGCACTGCACTGTATCTTCCGATTCCCTCGAGTCAGTTCGAGCCCGGATTCATCGGATATTTTGACTCGACTGGGGCCTGGAATCCCATCGGAAACATCACATCGTCGCCGAGCTTACCGTCTGGGCTGTCATCCATCGATGGCACAACATTGAAGCGGGCGCCGTCTCAGAAACAAACATGGGGACCAAAACTGGGCAACGAGACAAGAGGTCGCGCCATCGATCTCAGCGTCGGCCTTGGGGCAATACCCATGCTGGCAGCAGCAGCACTACCCTTTGATGTTTCCGCTTGCTTTCGATTCCAGGCAGATAGGAATCAAGGCGCTGTTCTTCTCACCAGTGGTCCTGTTGTTCATGAGCGGTACTATCATAAAGAGCCACTTCTTCAGTGGATGAAGCAGAACGCGAAAAGCATAGTGAAATCGTACCCTGAGGTCAGAGATAACGGCTTGTGGATCATCACTTCCACATGGACAGCAGAGAATGCATCTGTAAATTGCTGGAACTCCAAGGATAAAAGCGTTGATGTTGGGTTTAGCACAACAGCTCTTGAGTTTGGCGAAGTGGCTCCAAAGGGAAGCTATCTACACGGAGGGAGTGCAGAAGGATGGATAAGCACCCAGAGTGACGATGTAAGCTTTTATGTCACTTCTTGTCTGTTGACCGTCTAACAAGTACAGAACGACAAAGGCCATGTTGTCTTCTTCCATGGCATCAGATTTACATGGGTTCCCATTCGTGGAGTGAGTCACCAATCTGAACTGTGAGAGTCAAAAGCTAAATCACGGTAGTTGACAGAGAAGAAGAACGCCCCCGGGAAATTCCGAGGAGAGGGTCGTACAACGTCCGAATCTCTGACCATATTTGAGGATGACTTGAGCGATGGGACTTTTGAGGTACGGTATGAAGACCAGACTGAGAAAGATGAACAAGATGCAGTGCACCAGGACGACGATGAAGAAGACGCATGGGAGTAGACCTAGCTGTGTGATGACTGAGATAGAGCTTCCTAATAATTATTTATCATTATATGGAAACTGGCCTTGTGATCTCATTTTTGGACCCTATTTTACTTGTGAGTATTGATGAGGTCAGGAGTTCAGTAATACAGCTCATGCCGTCCAGTCCTCGCTTTTAAGCCAAACGTATACATCAAATCACAGCCAATGGTAGATCACTGCACTTCTGGTAAAGCTGTCATGGGGATATATACTTTTGTGAACAAATAAGGTTCAACGTTGGGGATTGGGCGTTTTGCACTGTCATTCCGCCACTCAGGCCTACAAGAGTTTGACCTACCCGGCGAACAACTACGAGAGTGTCTATGGACGCACAAGGGAGACTGCTGGTTGACTTTCCAAGCAAGAGCCAGACTAGACAGCGCTCTTGAAGGACGCATATGGTCCTGCGGCGGGTGTTCAACTGACTACGCCGTCAACATCATCCGGTCAGAGAGCTCGTGCGCGAACTATATCGTCATGACATCGTGGAAAGATCTCGGGACTTGTATTAGACGAGACGATCCGCTGTGGCAGGAACATATAGACTCTGATGTTCATGCGACCTGTGGCTGAGAGCTTAATCCAGCCGAGAGAACCTAGTTCATGCGGGACATAGGCGTGAGGAATTTGGTACGATTGCGGGGCAGATTGAGAAGTTGACGAGGGGGGCAAGGACGAGAGTGTATTACTTCCCTCAGATTTCGAAGAAAAGGCTTCGCGAGATCTTCATTGATGAGGGAGGGGATGAAGAGCCGAAGCTCAATGGGAGGGTGGAGGTGGATTCGTGAGGCACTGAGGTTATATTTCTGCTTGTTATTTGTAGAGTTGGAGTCGAGATATAGGACATGACGCCCATGAAGGAAGTCAACAGCTACATTCCTTGACTAGTTCGTCATGCGGATCAGGAAAAGAGAAAGAAGGGTCTGTTAGAGGACGGAAAGTATACTTGGTCAGATAGGTCTTTGTTCTACTGGCTGTAGGAAATTAACAGTTTGCTTCCTGAGAGAGTAATGACACATTGCATGGATTGTTCTCACAACCAAAACGGACGTTCTCTGTCCCTTTGATGTGCATAAGAGGTAGAACGAGGTTCCATTTAACCGACTACGAGCGCCTCTCCCGACTTAGCTAAGATTAACTCTCCGGCTTATGTGAGATTGAGTTCGCGGATATGAGTGCCGAACGGAAGGCTTGGCAGTCGACATCTCGATTAGAGGGCGACCAATCAAGGAGGATAAGAGACACAGGTTAGGTGCAGACAGTATCACCATCTTATTCCCCGTGAAACCGACCTCAGGAACGGCGGTTGATGGTGCGGTGCACGTGGCTATGTTCCCTTTTCTGACACAGCCTTGTAGGGTTGCCGAATCATACGACAGTTTTCCTGACAGGCTTTGTGGGTTGTCTGTGAAGTCAACATTGTGATGTCAATGAAAACAGACTGAAGGGAACTGAGTCTTGTAGAATATCTTATCCAGCTGTTCCCCATCACTTCTGGTATAAGACTCGCGTCCTCCCACTTTGGAGCAGCCCATAAAGTCTAGAATTATAGACGGTATGTTTCAATCTGCCAAATGCCAGACCGTCGTATCCGAACAACCTATCCAAAAATACATCGAAGCAAAATGTCACCCAAAGTGACGTTTTAGAAAAGGAAGGAGTGCAAAGGTCCCAGCCAAATTGAGACGTCGCCAAGTTAGGTTGTGCCTTTAATCATCATACGGATATTTTATCTGTGGGCCCGCAACTCTTGGCATTGTCCATTCTGATCCACTCTGATTGGGCTGCTCGTTCCGGCCCTTCCATCATTGGCTTGCCCATAAGCGAGACGTCGATGATATGTTTATCTTAGTCAGATATAATGGTTTGATCATCTCAAGTATTGTGGGATCTGAATCCTTTTGACACTCTGATTGCTTAGTCTGTTTTGGGGGCAGTAAACGTGAGACCTGAAATGGAAGTTTTCGGAGAGGTTCGCACAGAAAGCCAAGAGAATATAACATAAAGTCACCAATATCGCGCCTCATATTCCAGCAATGTTCTATACGCTCGTTCTTCTTTTGACCTAAGTGTATCCAAACGCAATTATGCGGCTATTTGGCAACGGCCAGGCCGCCATCTCAATTGTATCTGTTATTCTTCTTTGCCCATACCCACTCATTGCTAGTCATGCAGATGGCATTTCGCCGTACGGTGACGGTGATGCGCCTGATGTTATTCACTCAGAAACCCGAGGCTATGGACTGCACGAGTCTCGAAGCAGTACTGACCTAGACCTAAACGAATTCGACAACTTGACCGTCACAGTTGATCAGAATTTAGAACTTGATCGCAGAGCTGCCAAAGACTTTTTTCTACGAGTAATGCCACTTGGTGCTTCCATTACTCAAGGATACAAGTCCAGTGATGGTAATGGTTACCGCAAGTGGCTTCGAGCTCAGCTCCGCTTCCGTGGATGGAAAGTCAACATGGTTGGATCAGAGAGAGACGGCACTATGGCAGACTCGGTAAGCTATAAACGATGATCCGTTTTCATTGGTGGCGTGCTTACTGTTCACTAGGACAATGAAGGTCACCCTGGCTGGACGATTGAGTCTGTCCACGGCGCTTGGACAAAAAGCAAGTGGATGAAGCCGAACCTGGGTCTTATCAACGCTGGGCTGTAAGTTTATCTGGTTAGAACCCCGCATAAGCCAAGCTAATTGATTGACCAGAAACGACTGCAACTCGGGGGGCGACCCTACCAAAGCCGGCGAACGAACAAAAAGCCTAGTCGATGACATCTTCGACAGTGTCCCTGGCGTGACAGTTGTTCTCTCGACTCTCCTTCTAAACAAAGACTCATCCCGAAACTCCTGCTCCGGCGACATCAGCAAGCAAATTCGAAAAGTCGCAGCAGGATACAAAGGAGCACGTATTGCCCTCGCCGACGTCCGAAGCGTCATGTCCATGGATGACATTGGCCCGGACAAAGACCATCCCACCGACGAAGGGTACAAGATGTTTGCGGGTGTCTGGTGGTATGCCATCAGCAAGATTGAAGACCAGATCCAGGCGCCTGCCAAGGCTGATAACATCGACGATCCAGCTGGTGGTTCAAGTAGTCAGTGTAAGAAAGTCGCTGGTAACGCTGGCTTACCTGGGCAATCTCAGATGGGCAGCGGTCACGACGATGGAAATTACGTTCACAGGAGCACTTCGAAGGGTGTTATTGAGAGTGCAAAGATTGACAAGGGGAGTGACCCAAAGTCTATCACCGATGCGATCCTTTGGCATACTTTGTTCGGGAATATTGTCGAGGGTGAGCCAAATGCGGAACGAGTGGATTCACGACAAGAGGGCAAAGAATTGGTCCGATTTGTGTTTCATGCAAGCCATGAACACGTCAGGAGGTCCGACCTATGATTGCACTGACTTGACTTCTTCAAGCTGCCCTTTGCCCTTGGACAAAGACTGCTCTACCTACTTGCCGCCTCAAGGATACTGCATACACATTCAGATAGCTAATATCTTCGACAGTTTCAAGAAGGTTTGGCTGCAGAGCATCAAGGAATCCGTGATTCAGCTCTCTTCAGAGATCAAGAAGATTGTACGAGAATACGGCACACCTCCTAAATAGGATGACGGAGATTCTATCAACATGCTTGTTGGCATCTTGACTTCGCTGGCAGACTTCGGGGCGGCTAGGCCTCTCTTCACCGGCACAATGACTTCATTCGCCGGCGTGTTTGCCGCCATGTCAGCTGGCACGAGCTGGGAAGAAAAGGTGTCTCCAGATACCTTGGGCGATGAGCTTGAGGAGGCATATGGTGAGATATTTACTCAGATCCTCAACTCGACCGAGAACTTCGTTGGGAACATGTTTGGCGGCGTACCTCCCACCGGATGGAGTGAAAACAAGATGACGGACTTTATTTATGAGCTTTTCCGTGATGGTGACTGGCTCAGCAGGAGCATTACAAAGCCGTTTATGGACCAATATATCAGCCAAGTACAGGCCAAATGGGTATTTCACCTCTAATGAGCTTAGGTGCGGTGAATTAACGAGCGAGCTATAGGATGAATTCGCTGTTGTAAAGGCCATGAAGTCGAGGAACAAAGCTGATTATTTCCTCATGGTCAGTGACGTAAGTAGCTACCCCCCATTCATTGAAAAATGTACAGCAACACTAATACGAGATTTTAAATCAGTAGGAGGACACTTAGTGCTCAAAGATCAATATGCTAGGACATGCTCGATTATGAAGACATGGCTAATAGCTGTACAGCACCACAACGGTGTTGGTACGGTCCAGCCTACCAGGACATGTCTGAGCAGGTGTGCAGGGATCACATGGAAGGCTGCCTCTGGCACGAGAAGGTAAATCATCATAATGCCTGTCTTACTCGAGTTATTTCAGATCCCCTAATGTACGCTGCAGCGCTGGATCTGTTTTGGCTCTAAAGGAAACGATCCAGGAAGCATCGGTGGAGCACGAAACCTCCAAGGCGATGAACTCAAGACAGACGCTCGAGGGTTGTGTTTTTGACTACGAAGCAGCTCTCAAGAACAACTATGACTGTGTAAAGTATTGGATCGACAACCCGAAGCGTCTCGTTTCTGTCAATGACAATGTTCCCGAGGAATGCAATATTAAGGACGCCACTGTTCCGGATTACAACGACATGGATATCGACAACCCGATCCAGTACACCAAGTGTTGGTTCAACTTGCCGCCGGCAATGAGACATGATTATCTCTGTGGGTGGACTGAAGATTGAGCGAATTGCTGCTTTGGGGCTCTTTATTCAATTCTTGTTATATATTTCTCTCTATAGCTAGACATTTCGTCCGAAGATGAGGCCGTGAGCTTATTATTGTCAGTAGTAGCTACTATGGATGTGAACTTGCCATCCACTGTGACGACTGGTATCTAACATCTTACGGTGATCGTACATACTGCCATTTGTATCCAACTAGCCCAATGGAAGCCAGAAATAATTCTGCGACACTTATGCCATTTTCCTTACTTTCAATACCGAGGATATTGCAGCCGCTGATTGATTTACCGATTGAGGTATCATGCATGGATGCCTTAGGAATGAGCCACATACTTGGCATTCCCAGAGCCTGATTGGAGTGTCTACGTCTGATCTCAGCTGGATCAGGCTGCATCAAGCGGGGTATTCCTCCCAACTTCTAGCACTATTATTTTCTTCACACGCCTTTTGCGGACCTCACTTGGTGCTATCTGAAGGTGCGCTAGCAGGTTCATCTTTGTAGAACAACAAAGGAAACGTGTCAGGAGCAATGAAAGACACCTTTAGGCGGCTCAGGATCCGTGCTCGTGAGCGCCTCGAGAGTCTCCGGCCCAGCTCTGATGAAGTCGAGTCACCGGTATGATTCAGCAAAAATGATGGGAAATCTGGTCGCTAACCATCTTGATACTGAATAGATAGTCGAAGGACAAGTAGCCTCTGATCGAATCTCGACCGACTCCCGACAGCAGCATTCTGAAATCACCCGACAGGAAGATCGAGTCGACGTTGCAGCAGAACCAAGAGATACCTCCGAATCTACCTCTCAGTTCGGCAAGAACCGTTCACCAATCGAGAACATAGATGGGTCTAGTTGGGCCAATATCTGGCCGGAGGCATACCAGAACGTCAAGACCGATCCAGAGCATTCAGAGCTTCTGCAAAAGCTGGAGAGATTTCTGGAGGGCGAAGGCGGACGTTTGGAGGCTAGTATGTACCCACTGACGACACATGTATCCGTCATTGTACAAGGCTGATGATATGCTACCTTAGCAGATGATGTCAAACTATGGGACGATCCATCAGGGGCGACTGATGATAGTAGTCGGCTAAAGACTATTCAAAAGAATGCAGAAGAGACGCTCGGAAATTTCTCAGAGGTCCATCTGTCCTTCAAAATCCGAGATAAACCTATTGTGGTCCGCGAAAGTATTCTCAAGGTTGTTCAGGTTATCAACACGTTGAAGCCTGTCATCGGTGGGGCTGTTGCAGCCGAGCCTTCTGCAGCTTTGGCTTGGGCTGGCGTAACGACTATTTTGCCGGTAAGTGTCACCTTTGCTCAGAGACTAGCACCTGTCTAACTGATCTCTTCGCAAGATATTAGAAAACGTCTTCCAGCAAGATGAGGATGCGGCCACTGGTCTCACCAACATTATTTTTCTTTTAGCCCGATATCAAGGGTTTTATGAACGGGACTTTACGTCCCAACTAGCATCACTCAGGTATGACTTGACTTCCAAACTGATCATTACTTTAGTACTGCTCCCTTGATACGGTGTCTTACTGAATCGCATATAGTGGATCTGGCGCTTCACAGGAGCTGCTTAATCGTGTCAGAGACGAGCTTGTTAGCGTGTACGGCAAGATATATGTCTATGAAGCTCGGTTTATTCTTCAGTATGGGAAACGAAACAAAGCACATCGTGCTCTCAGAAATGCGCTGAGCGCCGACGACTGGAAGAAGTCATGGTCAGATATTGAGTCGATTAGCAATCGTATTGACAAGGGTGTAGCTGCTCAAGTCAATACCGCAACGCTTGAGACGTGGAAGGCAGTCAAAGATGTTCAGGAGCATGTCGCGAGAGTTGAGGCTATGCAGAATGTAAGCTCTCTTATATTACCATCATCGACTTGACCTAACCTCGTGTCTCAAATAATAGGACTTCGACCGAAGGCAGCTCTTGCTATCTTTACAGGTCACTGGCAACGCTAGTTACGATTCATACCGAAGCTCAAAAGTAGAAGCCCCCTGCTTACCAGGCACTCAACGCCATATACTTCAGACGATTCAAGAGTGGACAGAAAACTCTCAGAGTGAAATGATATTGTGGCTTGAAGGAATGGCTGGCACTGGCAAGACCAGTATTGCACTTACAGTGGCCAGTGCTTTAGAAGCCAGAAAACCTTTTACTGATATTCTCGAACATGGAAGTAAAGCCTTCCTTGGTGCCAGCTTCTTCTTTTCCCAAGGCGATACGACTAGGAACAACATATTTGAGTTATTTCGTACTATAGCATGGTGCTTGGCGGATATGTCTCCAGAATTTGGGAAGCATGTTACCAACGCCATCAAAGACAACCCAGGCATACAGACAAAGGTTCCCTTACAGCAGCTCCAAAAGCTAATCATCGGCCCTCTTACGATTCTTGATGAGAGTAAATATGTACCTCTACTCCTCATCGTCGTGATTGACGCTTTGGATGAGTGTGACAAGGAGGACGCACAAGACTTGTTGGGCATGCTTATACACCTGCGAAATCTACACCAGATACGGCTTCGCTTTTTGATCACGAGCAGACCTGAAGAACATATTGCCACGAGCTTCGCGCCTTTACTTAGCGGGCTATGCCGAAGGATTCAACTGAACAAGATCAAATCGGCGACCGATAAGAACAACGACATCGTCTACTATCTATCCGAGACACTAAAAGAGATTGCGAAGACACAAGGCGTTGCCGATGACGGAGTCAGTAATGCTGACATCATAAAGCTGGCCGAAAAGGCCGATGGTCTTTTCATTTACGCTGCTACTGCATGTCGATTCCTCACCCCTAACTTTGCGCACAAGACATTAAGAGACGAACACTTGGCTCTTATTTTTGACGGCGAAATAGAGGAAGACGGTCCACAGCAAAAGGTTGATGGAATATACCTCAAGGTTCTGGCATTTCCTGACATCCAGAAGTCTCACAAAAGAGTACAGACTACTTTTTACGTCTACATCAGCAGACTCATCGGTTTCATGGTCGTCTTGTTTCGACCCGCCTCAGTGGAAACACTTTTCCACTTACTTCACACGGCAACGCCTGGAATGACAGAGAAGATGAGGGAAACAGTAAGAAGAGATCTCCACAGTTACCTGCGCCGCCTCCATTCGATCATAAATGTCCCTGAGGAAGCTGGAATTCCTCTCTCGCTTGCACACCTATCGTTCCGCGACTTTGTTCTCGACCAGGAACGGTCCAAACGACTCCCGTTTTCCATCGACGAGCTTTCCATGCACCGCGAGGTACTGCATCGATGTTTCGTGCTTATGAACTCGAAACTTCGGCAAAACATCTGCTGTTTGAGCCTCCCGGGATCACTCGTTTCTGATGTCGATCCTAGTCACATCTCATATCACATTCCTCAATACCTACAATATGCGTGTCGCTACTGGGTCGAGCATCTGCTCAAAGCAGATCGTAAATTTCTGACCCATACTACATTCGAGGATACTGAGGACCATTCGTCAGCTGGTCTCGTCTACAAGCTTCTGAAAGAAAAGCTCCTATACTGGCTGGAGGTCATGGCATTCATTGGAGAGGCACCGTCAATAATTCCGATGTTCAGCCAGTTGGAAAGGTCTATCGAAGTGAGTCTTTTGACGGCCATCGTTTAGTTGTATTGTAAATGGCTAATCATCTTCATTGACAGTTGTCCACAAACCCTGATCTATCATCTTTATTGCTTGATGCAAAGCGCTTTGTACTAAACAACCGATGGATTATTGAGCATACCCCTCTTCAAATGTATTGCTCTGCTCTTCTTTTCTGCCCAAGGGAGAGTCTAGTGCGTTCCTACTACCAAACGATGATTCCTGTTTGGATCACGAAGAAACCTCAAACTCAGCAAACCTGGACTGCCGAGCTTTCTACCCTCGTAGGCCACACAGGTCATATTTGCGATACAGCATTCTCTCCGACCGAAACACTACTCGCGTCTGTCTCAGGTGATAATACAACTAGGGTCTGGGACTATGTTACTGGATCAGAAAAATACAGGTTTGAGGATCCAGGTAAACCGCTGAAGGTGTGTTTCTCGGCCGATGGGCTCAGCCTTGCTTCGGGGTGCCTGGATGGGACTGTGCGCGTCAGAGATCTCAGGAATGGAACAGAAGTCAGTCTACATTCTCCATCCTATGTCAAAGGAATGTTATTTTCACCAATCAGTCGCAACATCGTGGCATCAATATGCAACGAGAACATTCTCCGTGTATGGGATATTGCAGGAAAAAGACAGTTGCTCGCTCTACAACTTCCGGATAGTGGCAAGAAGAAACATATAGTTTTCTCACCAGATGGAAAGCTCGTGGCTGTTTGTCTTTACTACTCTGCTGCGCTCTGCAACGTTGAACTTGGGCAATTAGTTCATGAATTCCTGCCGCATAAGAGATTGAAGGGATTCACAGCAACGGAGTATATCTGTGGACTGTCAATTTCTACCAACAGCAGAATCGTCGCAGTGAGATTCGATCACAGCATCGATATTTGGGAAATTATGGCACCAAACCCGAAGTTGATTAGAACCTATGAGGTGGCTTGGAGCGAATATTCCCCATTTCTGTTCATATCTCCAGGGGAGATGATCAAAGTCTGTCAAAGCCATACCCATTTGATTGATCTTTTTGACCTCACTACCGGAGACTTAATCGGGACATTTTTAAAGAGCTTTGTCAAGCAGGACCCGAATGCTGGGCCTCTACGAGCAGATATACCGCCTTATCATCCTTTGATTAGAATCCTCAGCGGTCCATCCACTTCAAGATTCAGGGGTAGAGAGAAGAGTGCCCCAGAGAACGTGAAGTTTTCTCTTGACAATGAGAAAGCGCTGAGCTATTCTTTCAGCACAGAAACAAAACAATGGAATACGATTGACGGGTCTATGAAGGCATTCGAGGTCAATGTCCAGGCACTTACATACTCACCAGATGGCGAATTTGTCCTTTTACAGCTGAGCCGTGGTGATAAATTCCAGGTTTGGGACAAAAGCCTGACTCGAAAAGTTGCTACTTATGAGCAGTGGGCTTATATGGACTTTGTTCCCGATACCAGCCATTTAATTTCGTTGTCTCTCGCGGGGAATTTCAAGATTCTCTGTCACGATCCCGGAAGACTTTCCTTCGAGACGGTCAATGAATTTAGTCTTCCTGCCGTGTACTTCCGCAGCAAGCGAAGATTAAGCAGTGAGAGGGCAAAACCCTTCTACGTTTCACCAAATGGCGAAGTAGTCGCCGTAGTTCTCGACTATCATGACCCTAACCATTACAGCAGCCATGGCCATGCCTCCTACTTACTGCAAATATGGAACATTCCTAGGTGGGAAAAGATTGGGGAGTTTCGGTTTCCCGTGATTCGTCAAATAGTCTTTTCGCCCGATAGTAGATACATGGCTGTTGAGTTCCGCGGCCGTACTCTGCTCCTCCACATATCAAACGAAATAGATGTTAAAGATTGGAATCTCTATGATGGTATTTCTATAACATTCCACCCCTCTCGTCGGATGTTTGGTATTGTGTCGGGAAAAAACAAAACTGTATCAGTATGGGAAGGTACGCCATTGGTCAAACGTTTCATGTTGCAATCGCCCGAAAGTTTCCGTGTGAGAAGTATCGCTTTCTCTACAACAAACAAACTTGTCGCCTTATCAAATTCATACGATACAGGTTCTATCATTGAAATATGGGATACCACAACTAAGCAGATCATCGGTTCACAGAACCTTATACTGAAAGGGTTTGCATTTTCTCTGCGCTTTTCCAAAAAGGAAGTCTTCTTGGTGTCAAGTAGGGGCCGACTGCCACTTCCTACGCAAGACATTGCAGATGCAAGCCCGGACAAGTCGCTGGATGGTCTACATAAATGCCTGTATGTTTTGGATGACTGGGTATACCAAGGACGTGAGCGACTCATCTGGCTTCCGCCATCATATCGGCCGCCGACCTCTGAGACAAGAAATATTGAAGTGCAAGGGGATACGATTGCAATATCTTATGAAGGAAATTCTGTGAAGTTCATTGGGATTTCTCTTGAGGATACGCCTGTTGCGAAGCATTATCTGGGATTGGTAAGAAAGTAATGTGTCATTTATATTTAGTTTGTTCAAATTTTGTATCAATAGTAACATCTCAAATTGAAAAGAAATAATCAGACTTTAGCCTACCCGTATGTCAGGTGTAGTAGGGAACGTGGGCCCTCAAAAGTACCTCCACCCCGGCATGCGGATGACATCCCAATCATCCTCAAATCGATATCCCACACCTTCACCAGCCCTCTTAACCAGCGACGCAGCACGACACGCACCCTCTTCACTAGTTTCCGTTTCGGTAGGTGTTGTCAGATTAGTGGTCACAGCAGTAACGCCAGCGCGAGAACAAGCACCATGATACTCCTCAGCCGAGTTACAATAAGTAACATAAGCAGGCGCCTCGCTGGGAAAGATAGCAGTCGCATCGGGATCTTGACGGCGGATGAGCTGTCTGTTTGTAGGCCTTGCAGTGGGCCAACCGGTAGGGATGCGGTACTTACATCGCTTTTTAACGGTTGTAACAACACTTTATCTTGTTAGCTAACTAATGCCGATATGTCCAGCGACTTGATCAACTTACACGCTGTACGGACTAACTGTGACCACGTCGAATTCTTCGCAGTCATAGATACGATCTTGCAGGGGAGGTGAGCCTCCTGCTGAGGTAATACCTGCTACACAGGCGTCGACTGTCATAGTTGGAGTTTCTGGGGTCGTAGTGGTCTGCACAGTTGTTTCATCTGCGGTAGTAGAGACTTCCGTGGTGGCGTCAGTGCTAGTTGTCTCTTGCGCTGTATCGCCTTTAGATTCTACGGTTGTCTTTACAAAAGATGCTTCCAAGGTAGCTCAAGTGGTTGAAGTGCTATCCAAGACGGAGGTAGATTCGGCAAGCTCGGATGACGATGAATCGGATGTTGATAAGACAGGGGTGTCCCTGGCTGGATCTTCAAACTCGGACGACGTAGTGGAGGCCACGTCTTTAATGCTCGACGGCGTTTCGTAGGATGATGCCAGGTGGGGCTGGAGCGTTGTCACTCCAAAGCTGGAGGTGTGTGGCTCGACAGCTTCAGAAGACAAGGTGATAGCTTCTTCCGACACGATAGTACTCTCTTCAGTTATAGTCGTAGGGGAAATAGAGCTAGCATAATCCACGCCAACGAGTTTGTCATTCTGACATCGAGAAACTTGAAGGAAGTCAGTAACAAAAGACCTCTATACAACGAAGTGACATACCGCCATAAACACCAAGGGTGACTGGTGTACAGCCAGGCGGAGCAGAAGTAAACGTGATATAAACATCTCCATTAGATGTCTGACAAAAGCCTGCCTCTCCATTCAGCAAGTCATCGTTTTGGAAGCTAAGCGATGTTCCAGTCGAAGCAAAGCCCTTGGTAACCGCGCCTGACGGCGGGGCTCCTTGGCCTTATAGCTGTTTAAAGTCTTCGCCAGAATGAAAAATGGCATTTCCGTTCTTGAAGAGCTGGCCCTGGGCGAGGTTGAAGGTGGAGGCAAACGTGCAGGTATCGGGGCTACCGTTTCCAACAAACCGTCCAACTTCTCGTTTATTGAGGCTGCGCTTCCGATCGTCGTCGGGGGATTGGATGAGGAGAATCACTATCTGCCCTTCAGGTTCGGTGATGCTGGTCGTTGTGGGAGCCGCAAGTGTTGTTTGGCCAAAGGAGGTTTACAAGGCTGGTTGGGTTGTAGGTGACTTGTCGGTTGACATTGGTACGTCCAAGGTTGTAGATTATGGCGCAGATTCCGCCAACCGCGAAGTCTCTTCATCGATGAGTGAGGGTACCGAGTCTTTTTTACTCTCATTAGTTTGTCTTCCGAATACTGAGGTAAAGTATGACATACTTGTACTTGTAGTTGCAATGGAAGTATTCTCTCCAAAAGTTGGACGAAGTGACGGAGCCAAAGGAAGCCTGGCGGTCTCACTGTCTCCTCCATCCGGTGCTTCGTCATCTCCATCGATTGAACTGGAGCGTCCATCCTTGTTTGGAATCGCAACGAGGTCAGTAGGGAGATAGGTCATACAGTACGTCTCTGCTTCCCTCGGTGCAAGATCCTGCCCCGGGGAGGCAGCTATGCCTTTTAATGAAACTGCAAAGAAGATGTGACTCTTCATTGTGGATTGTGATACTGTTTCTGATGTGGTGAACGTTACGCAATAATGAAAAAGAGATTCATGGGGACTATTTGAGGCACGAAATAAGGAGCGGCCGATGTCTCAGCCGCCATAGTTGTATGGAAGCAAGAGATCAGCCAGCCACCCAGAGATGCTACGAGAAATTTCGCATCCCTACATAGCACAATCATATTTTCATTTCACCTACCAACAGACTCTTGGTTCAGAAGTTGATTGCGAGCAACCTCAGGGACCAAGAAAATATCAGACGTTAATATAGGGCAGCGAAATAAACTTCATAGAAGGTATCATAAACTTATCCTAAATTATATAAGTCTTTTATCACTTGTGATCAAGGTCCCGTGTTTTCTTTCCTCCCTAAGGCAACGGTCAAATTCGCGGATGTTCTGAACATCTGTCAGTCACATCATGTTCTGAAATAAGCCCATTGACAATGAGATTGTACTTGGGAGAAATCGCGACAAGTCAGGGAAAATTAGAATCGTTCTAGACGTGATAAGGGCAACATTCATATCAGAACCCTGTTATGTACAGTCTTACAATTGTGGATACAATCGTCTGAGATACCGCATGTCATCGCTGACATCCGAACTTGCATCCGATGTGTTGGTTGCCCTACAAGGCGAATGTCTCAGCCACAACATCCTTCTCTCGGACCAAAAACTCCTTGAAGCTACCCAATTCAATTCCCCACGTCTTGACCCTCTCAGCATCGACACATTTCTCCCCATCCCTCAGAAACACCTGCGATCCAATGAACGGATTGGAATTCATGACCTGGGCCACCTGTTCATCAGTGTAGAACTCAACCTTCATCTCTCGCCCAGTGGCATCAGCCAGATTCTCCATCATTTGCATGGCTGTCAATCTCTCGCTGACAAGATCAATTCCTTCCCCACTGAATCCCTCAGGCTCGTTAAAGGCGGCGAAAGTGAATTTAGCGATATCTTGCGGGTCAACGAGGTTGAGCTTGGTGTCGGGCTTCAGGGCGGTCAACCAGGTGTTCCTCTCGAACAAGTCGCTGTAGATGCGAGCTTTTGGTGCGAGAAGATTGGACATGAAGAACCCTGGACGGATGATAGTCCAATGCTTGAATCCAGCGCGTTGAACAAGTCCTTCAATAATATTTTTGACAAAGAGGCTTTTGAACAGCAAGTGACCGGGAGGAAGAAGCGTGCGCTTCTCAGGAGCATCGGCGCTAATGGAGCTCGAGTACACGACATGTTCAACGCCCGCCGTTTTGGCCAGTGCAATAATTCTCTGAGCCCAGATACGCTCATCATCAAGATTGCTATAGTTGGGCCCAAGAGCGAGGAAGAGCTTATTGCAGCCTGTCAGACCCGCAGTGAGGGCCTCTTCGTCGTCCCAGTCGCCGGCGTTTAGGACAACGCCGATCTTAGCGAGAGCTTGGGATTGGGGGGATTCGGTGTTTCGCACTGTAGCGCGGACGGACCAGTTTGATTGGCGGAGGTGGCGACATACTGCTGAGCCTTGGGTGCCTGTAGCAGCGACGACGTAGACTGTTGGGAGAGACATGGTAATAAACTGAATATTTGATTGAGCGTGGTTTGATAGTATTGCTTGCTTCCAATTCCAGGCGATTGAACTCTTTATATCTCTTTTGTTGTAAATGGCAGCTCCTCCTCGTCGCGCTATTGCGTCGTGCTTCTGTGGGGCTCATCAGCGGAGTTCCGCTGCTCCTGAGGTCCCTCAGCGCATTTCCACCATTTTACCTCATCGCAAACCACCAACTCTCATCTTGCTCAACATCCATGGAGCGCAACAATCCCCCAGCGCGACGTAAATCCTGTCAAGCCTGTAAAAAGGCGCGTCGGAGATGCGATCTAGCGCGTCCGACATGTCAGCGCTGCGCTCAACGGAATATCCACTGCCATTATCCTTATGCACCTCAGCCGCGCGAGAGCGCCAGCTGCATACAGCCCGAGATTCCAGTTTCTATTATTGAGGGTCCACTTACGCCATCATGCTTTGGGATGCTTGATTCGATTCTGGAACCAACAGACTATTTCGCAGACCAACTGTTTGATGGGTCATTGGATTGCGATGCTTCCAACTGGTCTGCGCCACGGCTTTCAACCACGGCTCAGAATGCATTGAACCGGTCTCAGCTTGTGACTATCCCTCAGGTCACAAGATCGATTTCATCCCGACTCCAGTATGCTATGGATGCGATATTGAAGGGCCCTTCGCAAATGGTTTCAGAGAATCAGACACCTTGGTGCCATTCGCATCTATACGACGATAGAATGCCTAAATCTATGCAACGTAAGTCCAATCCATGCCCCACCAACTCATTCATAACAATTAAGCAGATGCTGTATCATCTGCTGCACTCCATGCAGCAAAGAATCATCTCAACGCCAGAGTCATCCGCGACAACGTGGAAAGCCGCGTGCAGGAACTCCTCGCCAGCCCACCACCAGCTACTTCAGTGGAAACGCTGGCATATGCACAAGCGCTCTTCATTTACCAAATCCTTCGTCTACTAGACAACGACGCCCGAACCTACGCCATCTACGAAGCCACCATGCCTCATCTGGAAGAAGCATCCAACGCGCTCATTCCCCACATTGCCATCGACGAAGCAGCAGGTTCACCAAGCCAATCCTCCGATCTTATTCCCCTGTTTCCCGCCTCAGCAGCGCAGGCCTTCTGGACAAATTGGATCTTCCAAGAATCAGCCAAGAGAACCCTCGGCATGATAAACTTCTTCATGCTGACACATTACTTCATGAAAGGCGAGTCGGGTAATAGATGCGGTCAGAATAAAAACATAGCTGTGAACCGGTCTGTCACCATGTCTGCGCATTTGTGGAACGCTCAAGATCCTGTCGATTTTGCACTGGCGTGGCGAAATAAGAAACATTTTGTAATAAATGTTAGCGCGTAAGTCAACTTTGAGTCTTGTTTGTTGTGTTCTTAGCTGATGAGTGAAAGACCAAATTTCTTGGAGACGATACTTCATGATGCCCAGAAGGATGATATTGATGCTTTCGGCAAAATATGTCTGACATCCTTAATGGGACTTACTGAGGCAAAAGGCTGGTTAGCTATGAAGGGAATTACTATATAGTCCCAGAAAGTCTCTCTCGAACTCATCTTCCTGTTTGCAGTATGCATCGGCCTTTGCCCTCGGCTTCAATTCCCCAGATTGGACAAGCTTATCAGACGGGTACTGGTAGACATCCAGTTTGATGACTTGATTCTCTGTTTATGAATGCAGATACGTATCTAGCCACCGTTTTGATGAACGTTCAAGACCACCGATGTGAAATGCATCTCGGGGAGCACCGGGTATCAGATCATTTCATGGAACTGTCTTGGCCAGGTCGGATAATCCTGCCGAGAATCCCGACTCATATAGCCATGTCCCTCGCTAATCGGGTCTTTGCTTGGCAACTCTTCCACGCTAGGCTAGCATGGACAGGTTATATTGCAAATCATGAGAAGTAATAAGAGTGTAGAATTCCGATTTTTTTAAGGTCATATGGCAGTGATTTTGCTGTAGGGCTGTTGAGATGTAAGTCATTGTGGCTCATTATATTAGCACTTTATCATAGTAGTAGTGATCCACGTCCACACAATGTTACAGCTCTGTTCCGAAATTAGGAATAAATACACATAACTCGTCACTACACTTTGCGGGCAAGAAAGAAGATGGCAGACACTAGTATCATTCTACATAGAGCATTGGCACTTTTTTACCCCTATACATAGAGATGATTTAATGCCTGAAAATTAGGTCTAGGGTAACATTGAATATTTGGCGCTTTTGTCAAAGACCTGAGATAAATGAATAAAATCAGCTCAGAGTATCAAGCCCTCTTCTTTTGCTAAGCCTGTATTCATGGACGGCGACGCCGAGGCAAAACCGGTGCGGCTGAGAAAAAAAAGTTGTACCGAAGGACGCGATCTTACTTCAATTCCACAACATCATGTTTTGTTATCTTATCTCGTATTGATAAGGTTCTTACCGACCGAAGCTAGCAAGGATCCTGGCCTTGAGATACAAAAACAAAGTGCCAAAATCATCTGGTCTAAAGATATAATAGAATACACTGAATTTACCTATGTCTTTTTGTGACTTGGGATAAGGTTCTTTAATTCCTTTGCCTCCCCTGTCCTGGAAACCTGGCAAAAGTCCCTTAAGTAAGCTGCTGACAGAACAACAAGTGGACCAGGTCGGCCGCGGCTCAACTCCACCCAAGCGGCCGACTTTACAACAGTCGTGATAGGGCCATCAGTTGCAAGCAACACAATGATGGTTAAAAATAAGCAAAAATACAAGCTTAGGAACAAGCTTCTGCCAAGCGCCAATGCCGAATCCTTGCCGCCCCTGGTAGTCGAGACCTTTTGGATCTATATCCCCTGCCAAGAGCTGCGTGATTGAGAGGCTTTCACGAGGTGGGACCCTGATTGAATGGAACGATGTTTGTTCTAGTGCACTGCCAAGCTAGCTGTTGTTGCGAAAATGGAAGGTTGTATTCTCGGACCTCGCGAAATGCTGCCTTGCACGTGTCACGGCATTGTACTGAAAAGAGATTGAGTTTGACGGCAGCGGTCAACCTCGACAACGTGTATAAAGACGTGGCTACTGTCCTTACTAATTCATCCCTTTTCTTATCCTCAGATCATCAGTCTCCTCTCACTCTCTTTCGACAACTCAATATTCTCACCTCATCACCATGCTCGTCTCAACCGCTCTTCTCGCTCTCTGCTCGGCAGCCTTCACAGCAGCCACGCCTGCTCCAGCTCAAACCGCCGAGACAGACTTTAGCTTCTGGCTCGGCGGCCCTATCCTCGAGAAATGTCTTGCCGAAGGAAACTGCGAGGACCGCCTCCTCGACAACCCTTACTACGTCGAAGCAAAGAAGAACAAGCATGCCAAGCGGTACAGCTGCCATGGCTCCGGTATACACACCGTCGTGACCAGCGGCAAGAACTTTGTCAAATTTGGT